CCAAATATAGAATATTAGTTTCTTTTGATGAATTTTATTTAATTCTGTCTTCACTTGTAGTACGTAAAATGGGAGAAGTGTTTCTTTTATGTTTTTCTGAATAACTCATAAGTTTGATTAAATAATTTGCTGTTAAAAAAATATAATTAATTTTTCTCATATTTATAATCAATCTTAATTTCACTTTTTTTTGATAAATATTTAAATCTAAATAGAAATAATCATGCATAAATTATTAAAGGAAGTTGTAAAAGTCTACACCTAATTCTAAAAATTAGGTCCAACTTATTTAGATACCTTTGATAATAGAGCTATTACTGAAGCTACATTTGAAGCTGTTAAAACGAAATAATTACAAGAATATATCAAAAAAGAATTTAAACCTATTGGAGATATATCTATGTTACCTATACATCTTGAACCAGAACATCGTTTTACTATAGCTATGTTTGCATTAAGACCAGGAGTTAGAATGCCTTTACATGATCATCCCAATATGTTCGTTTTGAGTCATGTTATGAATGGAAAGGGTGAAAGAGAATCATGGGATATTGATCCTATTGATCATCATTAATAAATTGAATTCAGAAAAAATAAGGGAGATTCTAGAATTTTAAAGGCTATTCAATATCCAAAATTATAATTAAAAGAAGGTGATAATTGTTACACAACTCCTAATAAATGCAATTTACATAAATTTTCTAATGTATTTTATTATTTAATACTTATTAGATTCATGAATCTGAATTATTTATGTTTCTTGATGTCATCTTACCTCATTATAATGGAGTTGATAGAGTTATTAACTTCTATGAACCATTTAGTGAAAATTAATTGGAATTAATGGGAAATCCTAAAACCTATTAAAGACATCCCATTGATGTTGATGATATTAGAGAATTTATTGTTTAATGAAATTTAGACAAAATACCAATGATTTATCATTACGTAATAAAATTATCTAGAAATTAAATTTATATATATTTATTATATAATTGATTTATAAATATTAATTTATGCTTTAACCACTAAAAGAAGAAGAATTAAATGAAATATATACATGGGTTGATTAAATACCTCTTAGTAGACCAAAAAAGAATATAGCCAGAGATTTCGCTGATGGCATATTAATGGCTGAAATAATGCATTACTTTCTACCTAAATTGGTTGATGTATTAATGATTTGAATTTGATCAGATGCATAATTACAGTCAAGCCAATTCAGTTAAGTAGAAAAAGTATAATTGGGATACATTAAACACAAAAGTATTCAAAAGGATTGGTTTTACACTCTCTAAGTAATGATTTCAATATTCTTTTTAAGAGAATAAATTGATAGTGTGATTTCATGTTAATCTGAAGCAATTGAGAGAGTATTGAAATTTGTTTAATCTAAATTGGAATACTATTTAGAAAATGATACAAATTCTGCTGAAAAACAACATTAATAAACAGATAATCAAATTCCACCACCATTATTAAATAATGAATAATAAAAAGACTAACAAATTTATGAATTACGTGAAACAATTGAGGTTACATACTCATTATTATTAACAATTTTAGGTATTAGAATAAAAATTACATCGAATGGACGAATTAATGAAATAAAAAGATGCTAAAATATTGAGGTATTAATAATTGTTATAATAAAATGGTTTATTATGAAACAACCCATAAAATTAATATCATTAATATTTATATCATAATATAAGTATTTTACTTAATTATTTAATATGATGAGACGTACAATGGATCAACCATCTGAAACAGCATTGATGTCAGTTTCAACGTCGCTATCTGATTAAATATCATTATTATTATTTTTATAAAATCTCTTTTCATTTTAATTCACCTTAAAGAAGTTTAAGATATTAATTATATCCATATATCTAAAATATAAGTATGAATATAAAATATTTACATATCCATCAATTTAATGGTTTAGCAAAATTCATATCAAATGTAAAAATAATTCATTAATTCAAATTATGCTTTCTTTTATAATATATTCTTATTAATATTCTAGTAAAATAAAATTTTTGAACTTAAACTAAATAATGTAATTTAAAATACCATTAATTTATCAATATTTATACAAAATTATATTATATAAGATGATTAATCTAATAAGTAATTAGTTTGATCAAATCATATTAAAAATTAATGATTGAAAAAGTGAAAACAAAATTCTAAATTATAATAAATGAAAGAATGTAATCAAATTATCATAATTATTAAAGAGATTTAAAAAATTAAATTGTTATTGAAGGATAACATTATGAAAAATAATTTAATTTAATATATTATTATTATTTTTATAATAAGAAATAACTAAGAGATTATATGTATCAACCTCAATTTTAGGTTTAATAATCATAGTTTGAAAGTCCACCAGTTCTATATTCATAATCTTAACCAATGATGATTTCTAATTAGAACAATATGTCATATTAGATGGTAAATTTAGGAGCAGGAGCAATTATGCAAAGATTAAAATAAAGATAAGAAGAAGAAATGTTAGTAGATCTTTTAGCAAAACAAAATGAGTTAATAGCATCATTGACTGAAGATTTTAATTGGAGATTGGATAAAAGAAAATAACAAATGGAAGAGGAACTAGAAGAATTAGAAAAAAAAACTGTAATTGCAAGATAAAAAAAAGCTGAATAAGATTATTTATATAAGCTTAATCGATAATTAAACTTTGGATTATAACGAATAAAAGAGTAAGAAATAAAGAAATTGGTATTTCCAAAAGCAATTTAATTAGGAATGAAAGTTCCAAGTATTTAAAATCATGAAGCACTTGAATAAGTCTATCCAAACTTAAGATTATAAAAGAAAGAATAACTAGGTATTAATTATATTAATGTCTAGATGAGGAAGTTTAGGCTAATGTTGATCTTGAGTTTAGTAATCCTTATAGATAATTTGTTAATCCAAATTTTCCTTAATATGCAACACCTATGATGCCATTTTCTCCCCCTTAACCACCTCAATAATATCAACCTTAATTTAATCAGCAACAAAGTTATTAAGATTTTGGTACCTCTCCTTAAATAAAAAGAAGTAGCTAAATTTCTAAAAAGATAAGTTAGGGTTCATAAAGATCTAGTTAAAAGTCATTAGGTTCACATGTATCAAAATAATCTCTATAGAATTGATAAAATTAACATATTGTACTTGAATAAAATTATCTATAGCTTTATGATAATATTTAAGATTACAATTAAAGGATTTTATATATATATATAGTAGATTATGAAAAAGATTATACAAATTTACAATACTTATTTGATATAAATCATTTTGGTTATTCTTAATTTGGTAATTCTTATTACTATTACTATTAATGCTATTCTTAGTTTATTTATTATTACTATTCTAGTTTTTATTCTTATTTTGATGATTATAATTGATTTTAAGCATCTTAAATAACTTTTTCCAAAAATTAATTTTCAATTTGATATAATTTAGTTTCTGATTGTTATATTGTCTTCAAAAATTTATGATAATGATTAACTCTAGCTTTTCTATATTTTTCAATTTCTTTAGTTGCTATAATAGCTGTGATTATATTATATAAATTAGATAGCCTATCTATTTCTTATTATCCCTATTTATTATTTTTAATTTACTTCTGAAATTCTTTATTCAACTTTTATTTATGAAGCATCTTTTGATTTATTAAATGCAGAATTAGTAATTGTTGTTAAAGTTTATTGTTTAGCTGTCATTTTAGCTAATTCTGCTTAATCTTCTCTCATTTTTTATTCTTATTTTGCTCTGATTATTATGATTTGATCTCTATAAGTTAAGGTTTACTACATAGATTCAGCATCTTTCAATTCATAACGAAACATATCTGTTAAATAATTAATGCTATTGATTTTTTTATTACTTTCTTTCTAATAAAATTATAATTTACAAATTTACAATATCTTCTAATAATTTTTTATACTCCTCTTAATTTGAAGGGTTAGAGAGTACTAATTATTACTCTTTTCCATAAACATATTCATTAAGAATAATCTTTTCATAAAATGGCAAAGATGCATTAAATAAATTCACTATTTTAAGTAACTTCAATACTTTTTTCATCTTATAGTATTCTTCTTTATTGTGCAACTAAATTAGCTTACTCAATATATGTTTTTAGTATTGCCAAAGATTTTCTCAATTAACCTGAAAAAGTAGTAATGGCCAACATATATTCACTGTTAGATTAATCTCTTACATCAAGCTTAGGAAAGGCTATCTTTAATCTATCTATAATTTCACTTGTTGTAGTTGCCTTCTATTGTTAATAAACCTTATTATAATCATATTCATATTTACTTTTGCAATATCTGGAGAATTGGATCTTAAGAACTACTATTAAAAATCCTCTGAATAATAGATGTATGGTAATTATGTAATGGCAATCAAAAAGACTTCCATAAGTCTTTTTCTAATTTAGACAGTTTCATTGTCATTTCCACTTGCTAATGCTTTTTCAGGGATTGGTGGTATATAGCAGCCTGGCCATTTCTTCACTAATAATTCTCTTAGTTCATAGAAATCATTATATCTTCTGTAGATTTCAAATGACCCTTGATTATCTTAGCCCTTAATCAAGTATACTGTGAATTTTTAACCAAATCCTCCATCTTTTACAATAGCATCTTCAATCTATATTGAGATTTAGAAATCAGGATATTCAATTTCTTTAATCGCTTCTTGTTAGATGTCTGTTTGAGGTGAGATTTATTATTATATCTCCTTTTAGTTTATAATCTATTCTTGAGTATTTGGCTCAGATTATTGATCCATATAGAAAATTAATGTATTATTTTAATCAGATTGATGAACGTAATTGATGATGATATCATAGATATATATATATTTATAGTGTATATTATGAATGTGATATTTATTATAGAAAATTCTAAGGCCTTTAGAAATTTTGAATATATATAAAATAGAAATACATTTTAATAATAATTTAAATTATAATAATGGAAAAGAAAGTAGTATTTATTAGGCATGCAGAATCAGAATATAATTTAGCCTAAAGAATAGCAAAGAACTCAGCTACTGAAGTAAAATTAGAAGATGAAGATTAAGATGTGAAATACTCATCTAAATATTGTGATGCTCCATTAACTAAATTTGGAAGAGAATAAGTACTTACCAACATAGATTATTAAACTTACTTAGTGTGATCCAACTAAATTCGAAGACCTTAGAATTGAGACTGTGGTTGTTAGTCCACTAAAAAGGGCAGTAGAAACAGCTGTCTTACTCTTTTAAAATCATCCTAATAAACCAAAGTTTATTGTAGAACCATACCTAAGAGAAATGTTTTTATCAGGATGTGATTTTGGAATTAGACTACAAGAAACTATTAATGAATACCCATTTATTAATTATGATAGATTATTATCAAATCCTATAATAAAATAGCATCCAAACATGTGGTCTCTAGAATTTTTATATAATTAAAAGAGTGCAAACATATTAAAATAATACATTTAAGATACCGAATATGGAAGTTAAGCTTGTATTGAGAAGGTTTTAGAATACATGAAAAAGCATCCAATTTAAGTAGAAACATTCGAAGAAAACGTTAAAAGAGTAGAAGATTGCAAGAAATACCTATAATTTGAAGAACCTTTTGTTTGTGTTTCTCATTCAAGAACAATTCATACATTGACAGGCAAATTTATTCATAATTGTACTGGAATTGAAGTAAATATATGAATAGTATCAATAAATTTATTTAAAATTAATATGTCTCACCCAGTATTTATAATTAAATATAAACTATTAATTTATTTTTTAATTAACATGGATTAGGTTGATATTGATTCAAATAAATTTGATTGTTAGAAATATGTTGGTGAATTCTTAAAGAATCATAGTGTTTAAGATTTAATATAAAGACATAATTAATTGTAATAAGAGATTAAAGAATATGATTAAGATATATAATCATTAGTTTTTGAAAATTATAGGTACTAGCTCAAATTAGTTGTAGCAAATTTATATCTTCAATAGACACAGTTAAAAAAATGAAAACTGATATTACTTAAATTGATAAAAAAGTTGAGACATTAGCATAATCCATGAGTAGAATAGCTTAATTATCAAGAAGAATAGATTCTTAATTATCAATTAAAAGAGAAGAGATAATCAAACTAGATACAGTAAATAAAGATTTGAGTCGTCTTAATTCAGTTTGCAATTTTCCACATGTGATATAAAAAGAATTAGATCAATATAAAATTAGTAAAGGAAAGAATTACGATGAATATTTTAATGAGACAGCTTAATATTATAAATAATGTTATTCAACTTTAGATTAATATAAAAATGAACCACTTATTTAACCAATTTATAAAGAGACTAATTAAAAATTAGATAACACAAGATAAATACTTTGGAGTTCTTTAATTGAATTCAAATAATAAAATCCACTTTTATAATTATATTCTGAATCAAAAGTATCAATTTCAACTTAAGAAGCTAGATCAGCAGTTAAAAAGTTGATACAAATTATGGATGATGAAGAAGCTGTATTAAGACATTATTAAAAGATAATCAAAGAAAGATATTTAACTGTAGCAAAGGAATTAATAGATAAAGCAGCAATCACTAAATCTTCAGAAGTTGTTAATTTAATGGATTATTTAGAAGATAAAAGATATGATTATACAGTTGAAGAATTAGAGGAATATAAATAAATGAAAGAGAAAGAAATAGTTAATTCTGATTCAGCCATTTAAGGATCCATTTTATGGTTAATTAATTAATTATGTTAAATAATATTTAAAGAATTAAAAGTTGAAGTTTCATTTTTGTTAATAGAAATTAGAGGAACTTTAAGAGATAATACATTAGAATAATTATCAACTTAATGTATTAAAGAAATTATTCATGGAGTTTTTCAAGGTGTTACTGATAAGATGAGTTAAAAGAAAATTAATAATGTATAAGTTAATGAAGTATTTGTTAAATTGTAAACTGAACTTTAATCATTATTTGAAAATAATTCAATTAGACAGTAATTAAGAACTGAAATAATAGATAAATTTACAGAAAATGTTGAAAATATTTGTAGAGGATAGGTTTTTACATCATTTAGTCATTTAAGGGTTTAATTTCTAGAGTTACTTGTATTTGCAAAAAATGATTTATAACGTTTGTAATCTACTGATGAAATCAAAAGAGAAATTATGACTCTTATAACTGTAATCAAATAAAAATTGATTGCACTTACAACTATAAGATTATTAGATCTTAAAGCTTTTGTATTTTCTTAATAATAAAGTTATCTAAGAGAATAAGAGACTTATTTAAATTTGATTTAAGCTTCTTTAATTGAATTTGTTAAATTTATAGGTAAAATATTTGCCTTTAGATCTATTTCCATTTCTCAAGATTAATTAAACTAATTGTTTAATGATAATTATATTATTTAACAAGTACTACCATTATTAAACACTAACGATTCTACATATTACTATTTATTTTCAAACTAATTCTTATAATTGTACTCTAAGACTTTGAGTAATAAATTATTTGAACTTGTAAGTTAAGTCTTCTAAGGATATAAAAGTATATTATATAATTTAATTTCCAAGTTCGATAGCCAACTGATTAAGAATTAAATAAATTAAAAAGTTATATAAATGGATCCACATAAAAAAATTTGATGTTATTTGCATAAGCATAAAGTGAACATTGGATTAATATCATGTTCTAATATTTAAATGAAGAAAATATTGTTTACTAATAATAAATTACATAAAAAATGTTATTAAATGAAGTCAAAAATTTTATTGAGGCATTAGGTCTTTTATTTCCTGATACTAAAAGAGGACTAGTAAAAAAAGTATCAATTATATAATAAAGCACTTTTAATATTTAAATGGAGATAGTTATGGTTAGAAAGTGTAAAATATTAGAAACAAATATAAATGATAGAAATAGTTTACTCATAACTGTTGTAAAATATGTTTTAAAAGTATTGTTACAAAAAGTAAGAAGAACCTATTTTTCAGAAGACTTGTTTAAATAATTTTAAGTGGACTTATATTTTGTTATGCAATTATTTTATGATATGGTTTCTGTAGATGAAGAAGGATTAATTGCAGGATTTTATATGGAAATCTTAGATTGTGCAATAAAAAATAGTAGAAATGATTCTAAAATTGATCCAAAAATATTAGAAAACTTGTCATTGTAGGTTAGATTGTGATATTTATTAAAAAATTATTTAATTTATATGAGTAATCAATAGAAGAATACCACTTAAAAACCATCTTCTCCAAACAAATCATCCATATTTCAAACAGGAGCTTTAAAGAATAGAAATTAATCCCCAATACTTTTATCATAGAAGTAACCAATTAAATCTTAAGAAAAATCTCTAATACTTGATGAATCTATTACCAATAATAATTCATGGAAGTAAACTACTGAAATTTAAATAAAGAATGTAATTAAATCTTCCTATAAAGAGCTTTTAAGCGGAATCCAACTTGAAAGAAACAATTGAATCAATAGTTTAAAATATAACATTAAAATTAAAATAGCAAGAAACAGATTTATTTATTAAAGAGTTAAACAGTCCTATATTAACATAAGATCCAAGTGTAGCTTTATATTAGGCACCTATTGAAAAGAGTAATTCAACTTAAGATTTATTCTCTAAAATTGTAGCATAAGAAACTAAAAAAGCTAGAGCTGTTAAATAATTTATTTTCAATTAGTTTTCTTCTAATGATCAATCTTTAAACATATCCATCAATTCTTCATTTAATACTTCATAACAGTAAAAAACTTAAATAAATAATAATACTAATAAGAATAGATAAAATAATGGTGGTAGTCCTTCAAAATTCTAAAATAAGACATTTTAATAAGAACCCTTGTTAGATCAGAAATCAAATTAGGTTTTGAATCAATAAATTAAATAATTAGAATAAATAATTTAAAGTACAAATTAACAATACTTCTAATTATAAGAATAAATAAAGAAATAAAATTCAGATTTATGTATTTAAATTAATACATAAGCATCTAAAATTCTATTATTAGAATCATATTTTAATAAAATTGATTAAGAATAAAATAGAGAAAAATAAATTATACATTAACAATAAATAAAAAATGAAAAATTAGAAATTAATGAAAATACATCTAATTAAGAAGTACAAAAATAATTATAATTGGTTATGAAAAATTTAAATTCACTTGCTGAACATTAATAATAATAAATGATGATTATTAAAACAGCTTTGACTACTGAATTGAAAAAGGAATTTTTATGTTAATCAGATTATAAATTAAATTAATAAGAATTGTAATCATAATTAACTATCTTAAAAGATTCAGTTAAATAAACATAATAATAAAGTTAAGAAACACTTATAAGAAAATAATAAATGATAGAAAATCTAAATTTAGAAATAAAAAATTTAATGAATATAAATAAATTGAAAAATGAAGAAATTGATTAAATTAAATTATAAAATGATGCAATTATTGGCTAGATAAATGAAAATAAGGAAGAAATAATTAAATAAAACTAATTTATATCTGAAATATATAATTTATATTAGAAAATAAATTAGAAGCTGCCAAATGTATGAAAATATATTTTTATTATGAATATCATTATATATATTGAAATATGTATATTATTTCTTAAAGATATTTTTTTAAATTATAAAATTTTTAAGTACATTTTAATTTAATAGCTAAAGATTGTATTTAGCTATAAGATGTTAATATAGATTCAATCAAATTGAAGTTAATCATTTATACAATTTTCAATGATTTTTAGTAATGAATCTTTTCTTGTTTCATTTATTGAACCATCTCTTAACGTATGCCAAAGTAATATTGAGGTTCTTTAAGATCTAATTGCAAATAAACTAACTGCTTCTATGTTTGTATTCCAATCTCTAATTTAAACTGTATTTATAATAAACTCTCTATTTCTTGAATAAAGAATTTGTTTTAACAACATAGCTTATTCAGAAAATTCATTTTTGAAATTATAATCATTTATTTAGAATTCATTTATTTATTGATAAACTTATTCAGTTTGTGTCATAACTAAAAATCTAAATTTTTCAATGTCTTCCAAAGCCATCCATTTCTTTTTGGCTAATTTTTCTATTTATTATCTAGTAAGCGAGTAATTGTGTTTCTTGATATTAAATTTAAACTCTTTTAAAAATATTTCAAAAGAATTTATATTCATAATTAATTATTAAAAGTAATAATCACTTCATAAACACATTTAATCCAGAGATTCTTTTTTTCTTTTTTAAAATTGTTTATTCTTTTCTTTTAAGATTTAATTCTAGTAATGGAAGTTCCATAGAGAACATCTTTATTTAATTTTTTATTTTATTGTTGCTCATGATAGGACTTTATTAAGGTTCTGTATCTAATCTTCTATTTTAACTGCTCTTACGATGATTAATGATTAGTTTTTCTTATTTAATCGAATTTAATTAAGATTAGTCAATAGATGTATAGAAATAGTCATTTATTTATAATTCCTGTTGCAAACGTTTTCTTTAAAGAGAATAAGGCTTGTATTTTGAATCAAAAAAAAATTAATTTTTTCTATCTGTTACTGCATCTTTATTTTTATTTGAATTCAAAATTTAATAGTATTAATTTCTTGAAGATTGACTTCTAAAGCTAGGTGTAAGGGATTGAAATTTATTAATGCAAAGGCTTTTATCTTAAAATTGAGATTTATTCATTTTAATTTAAAAATAAGGAAAATAAAGGGAAAAACATAAATAACTCATGGTATCACTTTGTCTTTTTCCATAAACTTGTAGATCTCATTCTGATATGACTAAGTAAATAATTTGTCTTATCAAATTTTCCAGTAGCATGAATTCGAATATGTTCATGTACACTATTTGATTTTTGTAGTATAGTAGAAGTATTAGATTGTCTAAAATCCTTTTTCATTAATTCATTTATTTTCTAAAATGAAATAGATTAATGAGTTTTGTTCTTTTCTTTATTTCTTGTCAAAATTCTTTGCATGACTTTAGCTGGTGAATTAATATTCTTTAATGATTCTGATCTATATATTCTAAATTAGTCTTCATTTTAATAAATACTCAATTTATGATGAGAATCTTTTTTGAAATATTTACTAGTGTAATCCTAAGGAATATGATCCAAAAATTTATTTTTTAATATTCTATAAAGTTTAACACTTGTTAATGATTTAGCTGAATGAGATCTAAATTATGTTAGTATTTCATCTTCACCAAAACATTCCTTAGATCCAACAATAGATAAAGGTAATGAATTTTTATTGTATGTCCTATATAATTAGATTTATCCATCAATTATAATATAAATAGAATCTACAGGATCTCCTTATTGATATATAATCTAATTTGGAATAAAATTTAATTCTTAAATTTCAGAGATTAAATTCCTTATTGTTTTTGCACTCCATTTTTAAAAGAGTGGAATTTAACATAAGTTTGCAAATCTTTCTGACTCTTATTTTTTAGTTTCTTATTCTAATTATTATAGTAAAGCATAATATACCTATAATTCTTCTATAAGTTTCTCTTTTTAAGACTATGAGATGTGATTTTTCTAAAGGTAACACAGTTTAAGTATGTGATTAATCAAAGATCATAACTTATTCTCCAAAATATTATCCTGGATATAAATAACCTGAAGGAATGAGATTAGAGTATTATGAATCTAGTTTCTTTTAACTTGATATACTAAATTAGGTTACATATCAGTAGGCAATTAAATATTGGATTAGTGATTGCGAGTAAGAATTAAAAATTTGCCAGCAAGTATAAAATAAAGCTTAGTACTCTGATCTCCTATTTATACCTAAGGTTCATATGGTAAATGACATTCATATTGGAGTTCTTTTAGAATTTTATAATATTAAGTGTCTCCTATTTGTCGATGCATATTTCTGAAAAATGGTTAATCTTATAATTTAGAGTGAATAAACTCAATGTCATATTGAGATTTAAACATGGATCGTTTGTTAATTGCTAGTATTAACGAATACATATCATTTTCAGAAATATTCATATTAAAATAAAAAATGGATTCTTTAAATGATTCCTGTGTAAGTTCTAAGGATATAAATGATGGAATTCTTTAAAGAGAAGAAAGTAGATATTAAAGAAAAGGTATTAATGATTTCTAAGATTAAGGTTATGGTTTAATATTTGCTGTACTTTTTACACTATTTGGATTTACTGTGTTCCCCTAATTAATATAATTTCGAATCTTATCTTTGCTTTAAAACCTTCAGCGTAATTACTTCATAAATATTATGTAGCTCAATATATATAAATGATTATGTTAATTTCCACTCATCTTTTAGGTTTCTCTTTAGGTAATTTAGGGATGTATTTTATTTATGAAGCAAAATCACCATTTTTTGAAAGATATAGAACAAGATAAGTATTTTATAATTAATAAAATAAGAATCAATGGCCATGGGATGAGAATCCAGATGAATGGTAAAAGAAATGTAAAGAAGTTTGGAAATATAATAGTATAAATATGACTTTGGGTGTGTTGATGTGCATCTTAGATACTTAAATAAGTCCTTTATTAAGGAATGATATAGATACATTTCCAAGTTTATTTGAAATGACTTGGTAAATTTTGTTTTCAATGCTAATTGAAGATACATGTTTTTATTGGACTCATAGAACCTTACATTCTCCAAAACTTTATCCAATAATTCATAAAAAACATCATGAATTTTACACTAGTGTATCATATGCTGCTATTTATACACATCCAATTGAATATATATTTGGTAATGTCATACCAGTTTTTGTTGGATCTAAAATATTGGGTAGTTAAATGCATATTGCTACATTACAATTATGGTTATTGTTTAGAATTGGAGAAACAATAGATGGTCATAGTGGATATGAATTCTCTTGGAGTCCATATAGATTGTTACCTTTTTCTAGTAGTGCTGAATCACATAATTATCATCATTCTCATAATGTTGGCAATTATGGAAGTTTCTTTATTTTTTGGGATACTATAATGGGAAGCAATGAATCATACAATTCATTTATAGCTAAAAAGTATGGAAAAATCAATAAGATAAAAGATAATAATAAAAAAGAATGAATAATTTCATATTATTAATTATACAATTGTTTTATATTAATTAATTTTAATACTTTTAAATTACATTGCATAATTAATCAATAAACATATGAGAATTTTATATATAATCAAAAGAAAAAGGATTCTTCCTTTTAAATTAAATAAACACTTGTTATTGACTTATAAACTCTTTCCACTTCTGTATAATTTGCCTTTTTGGCTGTTAAACAGATAGATCTTATTTTATCTTTAAGTAAAAATAATGGTTCTTCATTTTGAATCAATAATTATTAATTTATTCCTGGAGCTTAAAGAAATAGAATTTAGCAAGCTTGTAGAATTGGTAATGATTCATTTAGAATACTATTCACCTTTTCTTAATGTTTTTTCTCTTAAGCTCTTCTTATTTGAGATCCTATTGATTTAATATTAGATCCAGAATGTGAATCCTTGTTTAATTATCGGCCTCCTGCCTTTCCTCTTACAACATAGCGATGATCACTTTTATGATATATACATCCTGTATTGTCAAAGACTCCTAAACAAAAATATCCTCCATGACACAAGATAATTGCAAATTTTTAAACATTATCTAATTATTATAAATTTGGTTCTTATTATTGTTTTTGCTTTATAACTTTTTACTTATTCTAATGAACTCTTTCAAGTATTTCTTTTTGTCTACTTAATATACTTTGCATATCATTTAATTAATAATTAGCAAATTCAGATGATTAAGCTATCTTTTCTAATATTTCTTTTGAACAATCTTCATTTATTTCTAAGAATTCATAATTTAATCCTTAATCAATTAGAGATCTATTTATAATAATATAATTCTCATTATATTTAAATGCTTTATTATCTTATGTACTTAATTTACTATCTTCAGGCAGTATAGAATTAATATTAACAGATTGCCAATTTAAAGTAAGAAATTGTTTTGGAAGATCTTTTAATTAAATTTTGATAATTTAAACACCTTAATCCTTAATTTTTATTTCCATATTTTTTGGTACTTTATATAAATCTTTAGGCAACATAGGTATAGTTTTTTTTCTAAAATTATATATATCCCTTAGACTCTAGATGGTTTTATAAAATATTAAATACATTTAAAAAGTGCACTAATCTTTATTCTAAATGTTTTTTCAAAATAAAATTCAATTATTATTTGAAATATTTATTACATCTACTCAAATTAGCTAAATCCTTTGTATTAAGATTTGAAATTATTGTTTTGCTTATTTCAGGTTAGTTGAAAATGTTTGTAATCATTTTTAATTATGATAAAAATATTAAATTCTTTACTTAATATTTAATAATATAAATTTATAGAAATGATGTATTAATCAACAGATTTCATCAGAGTTATTAAAAAAGAATATATGCATCTAATAACATGATTATAAATTTATACTTATTATTTTATATATACATTAATATAAAGTATTAGTCATTATAATTAATAGATTTAAACAGCCACTACAAAAAATAAGGCAAAACCATAATTTTTATTTAATGATTAAATCAATTTTCTGAAGTCTTTTTATTTGAGAAATATTTGCAAATTTATTAAACATAATAAGCATCCTTTATTTATTATATATATGTAAGATTAATTCTACAAGCTAACAATTCATATATCTTTTTCTAAATTAATTTTTAATTCTATTCAAGACTTTCATGACAATAAATTTACTAAATTAAAAACTAATTAAAATCTAGTACTTTTTGATCTTAATTTTTATAGGATGATCAATATTTAAAGTTAATTGAAATTTTATATCCTTTTAAAGATTTATTTCTTATGTTATTTTGTAAAATTTACTCTACTAACCCAAACCCCCACATATTCTATTAGACAGAAATCTTTCGAAAACAGTTTTTAATTTCTTAATTTTGTTTTAAGAATAAGAATTTAATTATACAAATAGATGAATGAATTATTAAAAATTCATTAATATTTATATTTAATCTAATAATAATCTTTAGATGATATCAATAAGTAATTTAGTTTAGTTTTGAATAATTTTCAAAATAATATTAGTTTACGTTTGATTAATATTTAATAATTAATTTAAAAATACTCATAATTTATATAATAAGCATTTTACAACTCTTAATTTTTAGGTAAAATAAGATTCTTTTAAATTGAGTTAAAATGATTATTTCTTTTTTGTTTATTTTAACTAATTTAATAATTTTGATAATTCTAATAATTTTTCTTTACCATTTATTTATTTTTCTTTTATTTCTATAAATTTATTCAATCTCATAGATTAATAACATTTAAAGAATTATTAGCATAAATTTTGTTCAAATATTTCTATTTTTCTTTTGAATTTCTATAAATTTTCTTCATCATATGTTAATTTTTCTTCTTCTCTAGTAACAAATTCACAAATAATTGATTTCATTTTATCATCTTCTGATTTCACCTATAATTTACTATTCATAATATTTATTTTTTATTAAAGTTCAATTTATTATCTAATATTCTTTATGTCTTTATCTATTTCTTAAATCTGTTTCTACTCTTATAAAATATCTCTTAACCTTTCTTAATAATAATCTCTCCTCAAATGATAAATTTAAATTATACTTTGGTTAGAATATTTCTTTATTTCCCCTTTAACTATTTAACCTTATTTGCTATTCTCTTAATTAATCTTTAATTTCTTTTGAATTCCTTAATAGCCCATTCTTAATCAATTTTCCCTTAAGCTTAAACAGTGAAATTTGTGCTTGTTGTTAAACAACTAAAATCATTTTCATTAGCTAATGTAATGATATCATCTTCTTCATCTTAATAAGTTAATGACTCTAAAACAAATGATGGTTCAGTTTAGTAAAGTCTTAATTTCAATTCTTCTAATGAATAAACTTCTTCAAAGTTGAATTCTTAGCCTAAGCATGCTATTTTAAGATTCATTAATGATATTAATAAAATTTCTAAATAATTTCTTTTATAATTCTAAAATATAGAATTTTGTCTATTTATACCATAAATATTATATAAATATATATTTTTGATAGAATACATTTTATGTATTATAATAATAATTAAAATTAATTCTATAATTACTTTATATAAAGAATTTTAAAAGTATATTCAATATGAAATAGGTAGAAATAATATAAAATTGTATATATAAATAAATAAATTTAGTTTATTAAATGAATTAGATTTAAATATAGATCAATTAAAATGATTTATTAATTAAGTATAAAATTAGATAACTAATTATATTTTATGATATTAATCAAAAAAAGGGAAAGTCTTCAAAAAAATTCTTGAATAACTTTAGATTGCATTTATTAAAATTAATTATGTCACCAAAAATTTTTATTTTAATATATATATAACTATCAATTGTGGCATTTAGAATGCTTTAAATATTAACTTTCAGCTACTTAACAATTTTTCCTCAATAAATCTCCTACTACAATAGAATCCTTTTTAGGATTTTTGAAGACTTCACACTATGAATTCGAGCTTTTATTACGCTTCCTTAATTCTATATAATCATCAACCACATATTTTAGCCATTTCCAAGCATATTTGAGAGTTATTTATTTATCAGATGGATGACAGACTCTTACCATATCGAGAACACAATTAAGAAACTTCATTTCATCAGGGCCTTATCTAATTTGGCTACTGAGGATTTGGTTTTCCTACTAAGCCTCACTATATTTATAGTGCAAGTGCTCTAGTTCTTCACTCAGATACTAATGTACAAAATACCTTAATTATTGCTAATACTGCATAAGTTAATTAACTTTTTCATTTGCAATTTGTAACTATTACTCTAATGATGTGGATTCAGTTTCATTTTTAAAAAACATTTCCTCCTTCATTGATAATGGTGAGAACTCTTATGAGTAGCTCATTTAATTTTAACTGTTATATAATTTAATTAATTCAAAATAGAACTTAATGTTAAATAAATATTTTCAAATTATTTTATCTAATAACTTTATAAACAATAATAAGGAGTTTAAATAGAAATAAAATGAGTCAATATTAATAATAATTATTATTAAATTTAGTGTTTCCAAATATAAAGAAACAAATTAATTTAATTTACTTTTCATAATGATAAATCATTCTTGATTAATTTGAATAAACTTGTAGTTTCACCTATATTTGAAAATTTAATTGAAAATGTTTACAGCTAATTTAATAATTATCATTTTTTGATTATATTTCTGTTACTAATTTTGAGGTCTTATACATTTTTTATTTATCAAATGTATTAAAAAATGGTCAAATACTACTTAATCATTCTAACTTTTTATCCTTTTTTTTTCTTAAATTTATCATCTATAAGTAGTTAATAAAAATTCCTAATAAGGTAAGTAAATTTATTAAAAAATCATATAAATTATCTCTAAGCTATTTGGTATTATAATCACAACATTTTTAATTATCCAATTAAATTAATTATTCTTATATCAAAATTACTTTAAATTACTAAAATGTCTTAATAAAATTAAATTCAATTTGAGGATCTTAAATAAATTTATATAAAATCATTTAATTTAAAGATATTAATATCTTATAATGAAGATCTTATTTTTATTAATATTTTCTATTGTCTCAGTAACAATCAACTAGAAATCTATTAATGGATTCTAATCGAAATATGAAATCATAATATTATAATTGAATAATGAATTAAATTTTAAAAGACTCATATTAATATAATTATATAATAAAGATTGATATTTATAAGCATTCAAATATTCATACTTATTTCTGATGTTAATGTAATTATAATCATTTATCAAACTATGCATATTTTTTAGCCAAATCATCCATTTATTTTTCTAGTCCATGATATCTATTGAGGAGTTCATTTCTTCTGATAGTAAATGTTTCTTCCTTTTCTATAAGCACACTAATTATAAGAGAATTAATGTTACTTTATTTCACTCTATAATCCATCAAGCATTTTTTCTTAAGATTCTATTGTATCTTAATTTTATTAAATTTTTTAATCTAATTCATTCATAATACCTTCATCTGATTATTAAGCTAATTAATCAATTCCACTTATTGAGCAAATTCTCTAAAACTCATCTAGTAGCAATTTTCTTTCCATTTATAAAGATTCTTATGCCTTTACTTCTTATTTAATTAATTTATCATAGCTTTTAGTCTTATTTAATTCATCTTCAAATTCTTTTAATTACATTCTTGATTATTATAATTCATTATTCTTTTAAGATAATTCTGAATCTAATTTATTTTTTAGTTATTCTAATTCTTCTAATTTTTATTATTTTTACAATAATTTAGGATCAAGTCTTTATTATTCTTTACATAATTTTTCAAATTCTTATTCATAATGTAAACTAGCAGCTTATAATTAATTTTGTTTTTATTAACTAGCTTTAATCTCTTATTATAAATTCAAATATATATTTCTTATTTGATTACTTTAATTAACTAATTTTTAGTATGATTATGATAATTCTTAAACTGTGGCTGTTGCTCTTTATAATTCTTCTCTACATTCATCTTAACAAAAATTTGAATAAATTTAATACTTGCTTCTTCTTTTATCTCAGTAATCTTATTACCAAGTAATTCAACTTCTTCTTATGTAGACTATTTTTAATGTTATCTTTCCTTTAATTATTAATCAATTTATTCAATTTATGCTTCACATGTCTTAATTTCATATTTTCTTTATTTTATTTTATTAGCATTCTTTTTTCTTGGTTTCCCACTTGAATGTACTTTTCTAATTAACTCAGCTAATTATTATTTTAACTAAATCTATTCTTGAAGAACCTCTTCTAAATTAATCTAATAAAATTAAATTTCCATATTTTACTTATTCATTTTCTTATTATTATATAAGTTGAGTAAATTGTTTATCTAAAATTTTCCTATAATTTCTTGGGTCTAATTTTGTTTCAAAAGGAATTCCATTCTCCTCAAACAATTATTATATTTTGAACATAGAATTTAAAATATTTATCAATAATAATTAATCAAAAGTAATATAAAGAAATATTATAAAAATACATCCATAAATATCTATATCAAATCATAATATATTTTTATAAATATAAAAATACAATTTACTTATTATTTTTATCATAAATTATTACTAAATAACAAAGAGAAAGTGAATGATCTTTAAAAATATTTAATAAATATTAATCATTATGGTTTTATCTATTAATTAAGGATAAACAATAATTTATATAGTTAATCATAATAATAATTATCAAATTTAATTTCATTCTAGATTTATAATATAATATTATTTATTATGATCTAAAATTCCTATTTTATCTTTTCCTTGTTCAAAGATATTTTTCTTAAATTCAGTATTACATACTTGAATAAAATGAAGATTTCTTAAAATATATATTAAAATTATTACATATTTAATTATTGTGATAATGATTGAAGATTTAAAGTATCATCTATTTCTGTATTCCAATTTAATATTTTTAGGGTTGATTATACTTTTGAATGAAACATATTTCTAATAAAAATATTAGCTAAAATGTGGAAATTAAGATTATTCTAATTTTTATATAATTAATTAAATGCTTATATTCTTTAATCTTGATCTTCATTATAAATTTGAATTAAATAAAGAATTAGTAATTATTTAAGAGATCCAAATTAAGATTGTGAAATATTCAATTAATCACAATAAATAATGAAATTAAGTTGTTTAATATCTTCAATAAAAGAATAAAAGTCATCTTATTCATACATTATTTTATTTTTTAAGAATTAATAAGCAAATGCAGTAAAAAAGGAATTATCATAGACCTTGATATAAGTAGTAATTTTAATTTCATTAGAATTAATACCCAAAGTTATAAAATCTTTTTTCTCTGATATTATACAGATATTAGTTACATGTTATTATTAATGAAGATATATTAATATATCATTAATACTAATATTTTTAGTAGTCTTATTTTCTATTAATTTCTATAGTTTATTATCTATTTTATCAACTTAAATTGTTAATTCTTAAACTTTCAAATCTAATTATTAAATGTATGAATGAATATTTTTTTCAGAATATTATTTTTATAATATTTATTCTTAATCAGATCTAAAACTATTTTCAGAATTTTGAATAGCATCAATTCTCATAGAATTTTTAAAAGTTGTCATAATAATTTTACATTATTCTTATTCTTATTACATAATCTCATGATCGCTGTATACTTAAGAAAGTCTTTATTCAAATTTAGTTTAATATAATGAATTAAAATTTTATAATTCTTTAATCCATCTATTTAATCTTTATATATCTTCATGCATTGAATTAGTTTATTTAATCAAAACATCATTTTAAGTCTTAAGTGTATCAATTTCTTAAGTTATTGATTAATCTTATAATTTTTCTTTATTCAAATTCTATAATTCTTGTTAAGATTTAATATTATTAAGACTTTCATTATCTATAATTTCTTAAGCTCTTTCTGTACAACTCTTTTAAATCATATCTTAATTATTACTTGGTTCAACTGAACTAGAAATATTTTATAAAATTTATGTATAATTAATAGCTTCAGTTAAGTTTTTAAATTCTTGACTTAATTGATTAATTCTTTCTTCAAATACTTTTTTGTTATCTTCCAACATTTATTAAAATTTCTGATTAATTTCATCAAAATTAGTTACAAATTCAGCCCTAAAATAACTAAGCATAGCATGTTTTTCAACTAAATCTGTTTACTTTTACTTTGTTGTTCTTTTTATTTAAGTTTCAGATAAATTACTTATGGATTATCTAGAAATTGTTGAAGATTTCTTAGTATTATCTTATTAATAAGTTATGCTATTTGTATTTTCTTATAATTAAAGGATATCATTAGATATTTTATTGATTTTTTCATCAGTTTATTCAATATTAGTTTATTATTATGATTAAATTGATCCAAAATCCTTTTATAAAATTGTTATTTAATTTTATAAAAGAGATACTTCATGCTATACTTCATTGATCAAAGTACTTTAATCCTTAAAATTTTAATCAATTTTTTGCCAATTTATATCAGCATATTTACTAGATTATTTTAAAGATGGTTTTTTAATATGAATTTTATCCATATTAGTTTCAATTACTTATTATATATGCTATTTTATAGAATTTGCTTATGATTTAGAATAATCTAAAATTGATTTTAAATAACTTGGACTGAAATATTTAATTTATTCTGGGAGAGAATTTAAATCTTTATTATGTATTTTTTTATAAGCAAGAGATGGTGTTTATTTATCAGACTCTTGTAATTCTTCTAAAAAATAATTCAATTCTACAAACTTATATTGACTTAATTTATCAAAAACATCTTTTACATCAGGATTCTAAAATCCTTTTTATAATTATTAAACATTAGGATTTTTTGATTTTGGAGAGATACTTCTCTATTCTGTAGATGATTGTCTTTAAGGAGAATGGGTATGAAAATTCTTATAAAATTTTATTGCTCTTAAGATTTCTTCATTTTTATCAACTTGTTATTATTTTATATCTTCTAATTATTTTAATAACTAATTCCCTAAATTTAATTATTAATGATTTTCATGCAATATGCTATCAACCCTCTAACGGAATTCCTCTTCATATATGTGACTGATTTTTCTATTTGTTGATTCAGTTGTTCTAGGAGACAAATACTTTTAGTCTGTTTGACAGTTACTATTAGTACTAGCTTTTTTATATATTTTAGAAGCATTCTAACTTTAATTTTACTGTTATTGCATTTTCTTAACTATTTTCTAATATTAATTATTAAAATCTAAATCATAATTATATAATATTCTTTTATAAAATAGTGTGTATGTATTAGTTATAAATTATATAATATAAAAGATAGAAGTTTATCATAGATTGACCATCATAAGAACTATTTTAAATTATTTATAATTATATCATTTATAATTATTATAAAATTAATGAAAATAAATGAAAATAATGATAAGTCATTTCATTCAGCTTCAATTCAAAAAGCATCTTCAATGTTAAGTATGATTGAAGATGTAAATAATCAATAAACTCATAATAAATAATTGAATGAACCAAAAATTAAAAAAGTTATTGATCCTCAACCTATAATATCTTCATCAATTGCAAGAGAAGTGGAAGAATTGGAATAGACATATAAACGTTAGTAATTTAAAGGCATTTAACAAATAGGGACAAAAAATTCTTATATGAAATATATGGCATTTTATTATTGGAGTTAATTCTATCATCTTTGAGAGGTCCATTATATTTGACAATACATAAAAGTCCAATCATAAGAACAGCTTGGAGATAAGGATTTACTGCTTTAATTTATTTACCAATTAGTATTTATGAATTAAAAAATAACAAAAATTTCATCATTTCCTTTAAAGGTTAAGAATTCAATTTATTAATGGCATCAGTAACATAAGCAGTATAATTTAATCAGATATTTGTAGATTTTTGCTGTATCTTTGTCAATATCTGTAACTCATACTCATATCTCACATGCTCTTATGTTTTATAATAGTTCATTGCTATTTTATTGTGGAACTAAAATATTAATAAAATAAAATTGCCATATTTTGGAATATTTTGGATTCGGAGTTGCTTTGATCTTATTAATGGTTATCTTTACAAATCATAGTTATACATTCTATTCTAAATAAGATGTTTCAATATTGGATAAAATAATATATGGAGATTTAACAGCACTTTTAGGTGGTGGAGTTTCTACTTTATATTAGTAATCTTATATTATAGATTTAGTGCAAAATATTACTCTAAAATAACCTCATGTTGTCCAACTTTTACATTATTTTCAATAATTAGGGCACTAAGTACTGTGGTATTGATAATTATGACATATACATTTGATAATTAGCACAATTTCTTTGACTTCTTAGAACCTGTTCTCTTTATACAAATATTTTTTAATGCCTTATTCACTGGTGTTTTGATGAATTAATTATAATCCTATGTATAATTATTTGTTGATCCTTTAACATATAATTCAGCAAACTTTTTTTAACCACTTTTTGGAAGCATTTTTTCTTATTTATTAGGATAAGTATAAACAGATTATATTTTATTAGGAATCTTTACCAGGTTCATTATCAGTAACTTGTATGATTCTTTATAGCATTGGTTTATTATTTATATAAATTGGAAGATCTAAGTCTGAAACAGAAGATCTAAATCTAGATATTGAATTACGCTAATTAGATACTGTTTATTTTGAAAATAATCCTTTACTCTCAATATTTTAATCTAATTATAGAGAAAGAGAAGATTAAATGAAGATATCATTATATAGAAGATAGACAATTTAAAGATAGCAAACAAAATAATTTGTTGATTATAGTATGGATTAATGAGAATTGGTTTAATTAACTATTATAATTAAGATTAAAAATTAAAATATTCAAAAATTTTGGTAATTATCTAATACTTTGTACTCTTAACTACCTCTGTAACTAGCTAATTCATCTAAGTTGATCGAACCTTATTCATAGTCTAATAAATCATCTAAATTTATTCCATTTTTTATTGTCTCTTTTTTTTTTAATCCTCTTTCTGATGGAGAAATATTCTATGTTATAGCAGTCTACAAATTTGAAACATCTTATTTTATTTACCCAAACAATTTATTACTTTTTTCATCTAATTGTAAATTAAGTTTTTAAATGTCCTAGATTTTATAATTAAGTTCTTCCAAATGTAAATTATTTTACTGTTTATTCTATATTCTAAGTTATTATTGATTTTATCGAGCATCTTAAAGTGTTTAAATCTATTTTTCTGGAGAAGTATTCATAACATTTACCCCTTCACATTAATTATTCTAATTATATTTATTATTATTATTAATATTATTATTATTATTATTATTATTATTATTGCTTTTATAAAGATTTTATTGTTACATTTTAAGAGAAACAGGAGATTGACTCTTTTTTAAATGGTTTTGTTTAAGCCTATTATAATAGTCAGGACTTTTTTATTTTTTCTTTTACTACTCTCCATTCTAATCACCCTCTGAATCACCAGGAGCCTTTATGCTTTTTGGTTTAATTAATTTCCAATAATCTTTTTAACTTTAGCTTTCCCTTAGTAACCTATCAAATTATTAACGCATAGATTCTTTTTATTGTCCTTCACTAGATTATAAAGATTACTAGATTGAAGCTTAAGGAGATCCTTGCTATTACTATACTTATTATTTTGGTGATTATTGATATTATTATAATTTAGGATTCCTCTATTATTGTTACTAAGAGAAATTATTGATAGGAGAAGTTCCAAATTAATTAGAATATTAGTTTTTCTTTTTATTTGAATGAATTTAAGTATACCCTTAATGAGGACTTGACTCAATTTATAAATTATTTGTGATTGGATTATTGAATCCTTGATTAAATCCTCCTTTATTATTCTAAAAAGTATTTTAAGATGTCTTTTCTTGATTTTGAAATAAAATTTATTATTATTACTAGTAATATTATGATTAAATTATTTACTATTATTATTTTTATTACTATGATTATTACTAATAAAACTACATTTAATCCTATTATTAAGTTATTTTATTTTTTTACGAGTATTATTATTATTACTAATGTTATTACTATTATTACTATTACTAATATTATTACTATTATTACTATTATTATTATTATTATTATTATTATTATTATTATTATTATTATTATTATTATTATTATTATTATTATAATGCTTATATTTTCAATTATCCAAAGGATTACTATTACGTTAAACGGTAATTGTCATCTTGAAGATTAATTGTTTTTTATTATACCTTTTAATCAGCATTATTTTATTATTATTTATTATTCTAAGATAAGTTTTTTTAAGTTTAAGATCTCGGGCCAGTATTCACAGGTATATCTATAAAAGTAGATGAATGACTCGAAGACCAATATCTATCATTTTATATATATGACTTTTCTTCATTGTGAGAAGGATGATTTTTTAAATTTGCAAAATTTTAACTGATTGATGAAATGCTTGCATTTTCGGTTTAATCATTTGAAAAATTTTCAGTTTATTCATACTCTAATTTAAAAATGTTCGTTCTCTCCAAAGAATTTGATCTCTTGTTATTAATGGTTTTTGGTACTTATACTTCTTGAAATATTTTATCTCCTTTTAATCTTTATTCTTTTTTATTTGGTTTCTCATCAGTTTGTGATTTTCCTCTTTCATTAACCTAATATTTATATATTATTTCAGATCCAAAACTATGATTATTACGCTATTATTTTCTATCAGATGAATACTAAAAAATTTCATCATTTGATGTTAATTCAGTTTAAGTTGTTACTGTTTTATATTTTCTTTGTTTCTATTAAGGTCTCAATACTTCATATTTATACATTATCTTTGATTACATTTGCATTCTATCTTCCTTCATTAACAATTCATAAGAGACTGCATCATAAGTTAATGGATTCACAGTCATACTTGATACTTTATAACTTACACTACTTAAATCATACGATATTTAATCAATCACAGATGACATTAACAAACATTAATTTATTTCATAAGCATCATTGATAACTCTCCATTTTGAATTCTTCTAAGCTAAATTTAGAGCTTCCTATCTTATAATCGTGCTAGTGTTAGTCTATCCCATTTTAGTAAAAATAACAATATAAAAATTTATCAAATAAATTTCTTTCGATAAATTTATAGAATTTCTTTATTAATCATTAGGTGAAAATGACAAAGAAATAATTAATGAAAAAGAAGTGAATAATATAATATCTTCATTTGAATAAATAATAATAAGGTAAATTCATAAAAATGATTAAGCATTTTATGTGTTAAGGGTGATTAATTTTCAATCTTAAAGTAAAAATATAAATAAATTTTAAATCTGTAGATAAGAGAATATGCTTAATGTAAACAATTTGATAAATTTGAATTAGTTCTTTTAAGAAGAGATAAATATATCCTTATAACCAATTTAACCATAATTTAGTCTTATAATTAATCAATTTCCTAATTGATTATTTCTAATGAAAATTGCTTATAAGTTTAATATTTCTAATAAAAGATTTTAAGATTTTATAGGATCTTAAAAATTAAGTTATAAAACTAGTCATTTAATAAAGAACTAAAAAAAAATTACCAACAAGATAACGCCAATCAATGATTTTTTTTCTAATAAATTTGAATTTATTATAAAAAGCATTCTTGATTTATAATGTACTTGAAATTATATTTTTGTATAATATTATAGGATATTTGTATAAATTTTGAGTTCCTTTGAATTACGATTTTATAAATTTTAACTTAATTAAGAAGGATATATAGTAGTTTACTATTTTGGTTTCTCAGAAATTATTAGAAATGATAATCAAATTTGAAAGTTATAAACTTCATTTTTAATAATAAATTTTTATCAATACAATTTTTAATAGTGTAGTTTTTTATGGGCATTTGTTCATCAAAAAAGGAAATAGACAAAATAGAAGTACCTAATAAATCATTTTTCGATTTTGAAATTAATGATATTGATGGCAATCTAGTTTAATTGTCACAATTTTAAGGAAAAAAAGCTTATATTTGTGTTAATGTGGCTTGTTCTTGTCGTTTAACTACATAGAACTATGTTGAATTAGTTGAAATGTATAAGCAATACAAGTATATCATATTAAAATTAATAGAGATTAAGGTTTAGAAATTCTAGGGTTTCCATGTAACTAATTTAAGAATTAAGAAAGCAAACCAGAACCAGAAATAAAAAATTATGTTACATAAAAATATGGAGCTCATTTTCCATTATTTTAGTATCTATATAATACATATTTTATTAGGAAAATAGAAGTAAATGGAAATAGAGCTCATGAAATTTATTAATATTTACGATTTAATAGTGAATTGAAGATAAATAATAAAAATGAAGTAAAGTATGTTCCATGGAACTTTTCAAAATTTTTGCTTGATGGGAATGGAAATGTAATAAATTATTATTGTCCTGATGTTTGTCCAAATGAAATGATTTAAGATATTGAAAGATTATTGAAGAATTGACTACAAAATATGAAATCAATCATTTTATTATATACTATGAATCATATTAACAAAGTTGTCATCAAATGAACTATCTTTTCTAGTTTTATTAATTTGTTGTTCTGCAGTAGATTCATCTTGTTAAATATTGAAATCGATAACAGTTGTTCTTGATACCGATCTCGGTTTTTCAGCATAATAAAATGCATAAGGTATATAAAAACAAGGAAATTGTTGAACTCCTGTAAAAAATATTTGAATGCTTATTTAAAAAACAGAATATGTTTATTCTTTGCTTTATTAAAAACAAAATAATTCTTTGTTTGTATTGTACATTATTATTATAAGGACTATGAATGTTATCATTGTAATAGTTTATGCTATTATAACTAATTTAATCTATTTTAATTTCATAGTTAATGTATTTTTTATTATTGAAGAATTATCAAGCAATTTTGAATATTGTTCTTAATTTTAGTTTTATGATTCTTCTTTCCTTCTTATATAATAGATAAGTGATTATCCATGAATTTATGTGAATATAGTTATTATAAGTATTTGTACTTCTAATAAATCGAGACTGTAATAAAAATAACTACTTTATGAATTTTAATCATACTTATTGCAAGAAGAGTCATCAATTTCAAAGAAAAAGAAAAACTACAATGAAAATACTACTAAATAGAAAGCTCCTTTACAAATAATCAATCTTAAATATTTATTTTTTCTTTTTTCCACTATATAGATAAAAATGAATAATTACAGTCATCTGCATATTTGAATCGATATCTCAAATTGGCTAAGCTTTATGAAACAAGTATAAATGTAAATAGTTGTAATAAGCTTGCAGATATTATCATTCGATTTGAATTATAAATGGTGTATTGAACTAAATGAACAATAGCTTGTAAACAACAACAAATCATTGGTGCTATTTCATATCTTAATGATCCATGAGCTTTATAATAATGGAAAGACCAGCTTATTGAGATTATTGCAATAATTAGAGACAGTATAGCAAGTATAATATATCTAAAGCAAGATAAGAAATTATTATCACATTCTTCTAAAATTAAAATCATTTCTAAATAATAATATTATATTAATTAATAATTCATCTATTTTTTATTATTAAAAGTATAACATAATTACTTAGAAGTAGATTCATAGTATATATTATTAAATGCTAACAATATTCAATTAACAGAAATATAAATTATTCAACATTTTTATATCTTTTTTGTATTTAATTTAACTGTAGAAAATTAAATTTGTAATTATGAGAATGTAATTATCCTTATTTTAATTTTATTTTTTGAACTAATTTTATTATATAATTATTACTGTTTAGAACATAATAAAAATAAAAAATATCAATAAATGTCTAACCAAAATGACCAACATAATCAAATAGAAGAACATATACTTAAATTATATGATATATAGGATTTCAAAGGTAAAGGAGCTTATGGAATAGTTTGGAAGGCAATTGATAAATAAACCAAACAATAAGTAGCATTGAAAAAGGTTATAACAATTATGAAATATTTTAGATTTTCGATGCTTTCTAAAATTAAACAGATGCTTAAAGAACATTTAGAGAAGTTTGCTTTTTATAATAATTAACAGATCATGATAATATTGTTAAATTATTAAAAGTAATTCAAGCTGAAAACTAGAAAGATTTATATATGGTATTTGAATATATGGAAACTGATTTACATAAAGTAATAAGAGCAGGATTACTAAGTTCTTTGCATATGCAATACATTATATATTAGTTGTTAAAATGCTTAAAATTTATACATTCTGGTGAATTAATACATAGAGATTTAAAACCTTCAAATTTATTGATAGATTCTGATTGTAAAGTAAAAGTAGCAGATTTTGGATTAGCAAGAAGTGTTGCTTAATCTGAAAATTAGTATGGTATTATTATTCATTAAAATAAAATAATTAGAAATGCCAATTATGACTGAGTATGTTGCAACAAGATGGTATAGAGCACCAGAAATCTTGTTAGGATCTCATAATTATTCAAAATCAGTAGATATGTGGAGTGTTGGTTGTATTCTTGGTGAAATGATATTGGGTAAAGCAATATTTGCTGGAGCATCAACTTTGAATTAAATTGAGAAAATAATTGAATTAATTGGAAGACCTAAATAAGATGATCTAGAATTAATTAATGCATCTTTGGCATAATAAGTTATAGATGGAATTTAAATGTAAAAAAGAAAAAGCTTTGCATAATTCTTTCATAATGCATCATCAGATTGTATTGATTTTATTCGATAATGTTTAAATTGGAATCCTTAAAAAAGAATGACAATTGATGAAGCAATGAATCATTAATTAATGAAAGAATTTGTCAATACAGAAGATGAAAAAACTTTGAAGTCAATAATCAAAATACCTTTTAATGAAAATAAAAAACTTACTATTAAAGATTATAGAGATAAAATAACACTTAATTATGAATAAATTTTAAAAGAAATTGAATAAAACACATTTAATAAAAATCTAAACAAACAATATTTGTCTACTCCATAAAACATTTCTAGTTATTTGAATAATTTCGATTCAAAATATAAATAGAATCCAAATTATCAAACATCTTAACCAGTAGACAAACCTAAAAAATTAGATTCTTTTTATAAACCTGAGGCAATAAATCCTTATTCAACTTAGAAGAAATCTGACTATTCACCAACTATGAAACCTACTATGTCTACTAATGCATCAAATATTAGTCCTAAATTTATTCAATAAAAATATAATACTACTTAAAATTAATCTTATAATCAAGGATTAAGAAAAACTTATACTAATATAGTGAATAGACCTCACAATGATTTAAATAAAAGTCCAGAGATAAAGAAAAGAACAGAAAATATTATAACAAATGTTACAAAATCCTATTCTTTTCATGGAGAACCATATGAAAAAAGAGTACCTAATTCAAGCTTCAGTACTTAAAATAAAAATAAACCATCAACTTCAGTCAGTTATGTTAGACCAGTATAAATATAATAGTTATCAAATTACAATACAGCACAAAACTTTTCATAATAAAAAGAAATGTTAAGGCCCAAAGATCCAATTATGTTAAACTAAGACTAAAGAAGTAAATCATTTGAAAAGTCACCCATTAATATTAATCCAACAAGTCCTTATCAAAGACAAAAGACTGAAATTTCTAAACCTAAATTTATACCTTAAAGTATTAGATCATTTCTAATTAGGCAATATTAACAATAGTGTGGCTTAAGTGCAGAAATTACTATAAAAATGTTGTCAAGTATAGAATTATTAATAACATAAAAAAACCTTAAGTGTCATTGATCCTACAAAATAATAACCATAATAAATTTAATAAACAATCAATTATAATTATTTTGATATAAGAAATTCAAAATTTATGTGATTACTATTTTTTTGTATTATTTATATTTATATTTTAAATAAGATAGTTTTTTATACTAACTCATTTTTATTAATAGTAAGATTGAAAAGGATTTTTAAATTGTGGAAACGTGAGATTATATATTCTAAAAGGGATAAATATATTCTTACTATTAATTTATGCGATCTTAAGAAACTTTAAATTAAGAGAATTTAATAAAATAGGGATGTATTAAACAATCTTAAGCTGATGGTCTACTCGTAAATTCTTTGAGCATTTATGTTATAAGATCTAACAACAATGGGCATTTTAAATTCTCATGGATTTCATATTGATTTAGTCTATTAAATTCACATATCTCCTTTGAAGTCAAATTTGAAGAATATATGCGTTTTCCAGTCGCTAATATATGTGCTATAGCTCCTAAACTATAGATGTCACATAATTAGTTATATAGTAGTGATTCTTAATATATTTCTGGAGCAACATAGCCAGGAGTTCCACATCTGAATTTCATATTCTTAGTGTCTGAGAGTAATGTTGCATAACCAAAATCAATTAGTTTAAGTGATTTGACATCTCCTTTCACTTTAAACATAATATTATCTAATTTTAAGTCTCTATGTATTATATTAAGAGAATGTAAATGTTTCAAAGCTTTTAGGATTTATTTAAATATAGATCTAACCTCTGATTCATCTAATTTAAGATGCTTCTTTTGAATGTATTCAAATAGAGTACCTCCATTCATATACTCATAGACAAAGATGTGAGTATCCTTATCAGAAAACATTTCTTATAACTTCATTAAACCTGAATGGTGTTACTTTAATAAAGTGTTACATACTCTAATTTCACTATTGATTTAAGACTTAAATTAGTTAACAATATTTACATTTTGCCCTTTCAAACATATTTTTGCTATGAAATATTCTTTTGTGAATATATTTCTGCATTAAACAATCTAATATTATTTAAAAAAAGTTACTTGACATAAATTGCTTTCTTTTAAAATCTTAAAATTTTCATATTTCTCATGAAATACTTTAATAGTTGTTTATATGAGTTAAGTCTACGTTAAAAAATTATGTAAAATAATGACAGAGGAATTTTATTTTGTATTATTGTTACTCTTGGCCTAACCCTATAATTAAAATTAATCAAAAGGCATTGTACTATATAATTAAACTATACAGATACTTTTATGTGAGTTACAACGGACTAAAAGAAACAAATTCTCCCTATTATTATAATTTTGAAGGTGTTTTCTGTTTTTGCTTTTCTATATTTTTTGTTTGTGAGTTTTCGGATTCAGAATTGATTTATCCTAACAATCCTCTTTGTTTCATTAAATTTAAGTTGATTTATTTATATCTCTATTATAGATTTATTTATTTAATTTATAGTGTGAATGAATGATTCAAGAATTCTCAGAAAAAATACTTAATTATTTAAAAAAATAATTAAGTATTTTTGGTTCGATGTAACTGATTTAAATTTCCTCATCTAATCATTATTTGCTGATTGTTTTTAATTATTAATTATATATAGCATATTATAATATGCTGAATTAATTAAAAAAATTGTGGATAATATAAAATTTATAATCCAATACTACATAAATAAGAAAACTAGTAATATAAATTTAAAATTATCTAAATTAATCTAGAGAATAAGCAAATTCAATATAATATTTCCTACATATTTTTTCTCAATCATATTTTATTTTAAATCTTTATATTTGAAATTAAAGTCAAATTTTGAGCTTAAATTCAGAATAATATGGTATATTAGTATTAAATATAAATAAAACTTATATTGATCTATTATTATTTAATATATTTCTTTATTATTATTATTATTTGATTGTAAAAACATATTTTAAAATTTTTGGTTAGATTTAGAATAACTAAAAAAAAAAAATTATTTTAACTGATAATTTAAGAAATTTATTAAAGACTAAATCTATGGCATAAAGCTTACACATCTACTGATTTTTGAATTAATCAAATAGTATTATCCTTATTACAATAATTAAATATTAATAAAAAAAACAATATTCTGAAATTAAGATTGTTTAATTAAATTCTCTATTTACATGCTTATAAATAAAGCTTATATCTATACTATTTATTTAAATATAAATTTATTTTATAATGATATAGTACATATATTTATTTGTGTCAAACATTCTAAGGAATAAGAGTTAATAAATAAAAGTATATTATAATTGATTTTTATATTTTATTCCAGAATAATTACTTAATGGAATTGTGTAATATTTTTTAATTATTTGATATAGTATTTGTTTTAATAATGTCAATATTATTAAGTTCAATAGTCCTATTTCAATATATTTATTTTACTTTTAGAAGAATTCACTTTGAAATATTGCATCATTTATTGTGTCTACCTTATTTAAAAAATATATAACCCTTTATAATACTCTCTTAATTAATAACACAAACTTTTAGTATTTAAACTATATATAATTGAATAAGATGTCTATATTAGTTCACTTATTTTATTTTAATTAATACTATCGATATATATTTCTATAAATTTTATGTACTTAATATTTACATATTAATTAAAAATAAAATTTATCTTTTTCCAAGACCAAAAAATATAAGAATTGAACCATTAACAACTAATAAAGAAGTATTTTGTTAATTTTTATAAATTTAATTTTTTTTTGCAGAAGTCTGAAATTCAAAATATTTTATTATTTCAAGTTTTTATTACGGCCCTACAATTATATTTAGAATGATACTAATAAAAGAATTTTTATATGAAAAAATATTGATAATTTTTAAGAAGATTAAAAAAGATTTTAATATAATCCAAATAACAAAATAAAACTCAACCTAAAATTCAGATTAGTTAAAATAAAATCCACTAGAATATTTTATTGTTACTCCTTGTTACCTTAAATAAGGTCAGGTACTGTCCAGATTAGTGAAATACTTCTTTCTTTCTATAATCTAATTTATTTTGAGTGATTATTTTAGATTATTAGTACTAGTTTAGACATTTCCTAAAATATAATTGCTTTAATATTTTCAAATAACCATAAATAATCTGGTTTAAATTAAAAAATAATAAAATTATTTCAAAGATTTCATGATAAAAATTATAAAACTAGATTATCAAAATTTATATTGAAGAATAACCATAATTTATAGTTAAACATTTTTAACACAAGAACTCAAAAATTCTAAATCATATTAAATTAAATTATTTTATTAATAATAAAAAATATATGACTTTCTTCTATAATCATAATTACTTAAAGGTTTGATTATTATAATAATATTTAGAATAAAAGTGGTATTAATATATAATCTAATACTTTTAAAATTTGCTTTATGTGATAGTCATTTCATAGTAAATCTGCTTTTATTTTGACTTTAAAGTATAAATCTGTTTTAGATGTAGTATTTCGAATATTTTAAATATTTTTTGTATTTTAATTAGAATATAATACTTTAGCGAGATATCCAAAAATAATAGCAATTATGAATGGAACTAATAATATTGAAATTTAGTATAAATAAAATTCATTTTAAATTAATAAATCTTTCTTGAGTTTCTGATTAACATTATTACTCTTTTAATATAATTGATTAAAATGGAGTCTTTAGCAAAGGAGATTTTAGACATGTTAATCTAAAGATAATTAATATTTTTTACTTTTGTTTTATTTTGGATGTCTTTTCAAAATATTGATGATTAAGACATTATTATGCATTATACCTCTTGTCTGAAGTATTAGTCATTTTTTAAAATAAATCAACAATGATTTCGTTCTTTGTTGATTCTCTAATTATGTTACATTATTTTTGATGTAGTTAAGTAAATGTCTTTAATGAATGAGAATCAAATGTAAATTTTCTTCCTGTTAATAATGTAAAAAATATCTAGCCAAGACTGTAAATATCAATCAGTTCATCATAGGAATTTTCAGAATATAGCTCTGGAGCAATATATCCAGGTGTCCCACACCTTTCAATTATGTATGGTTAGTTATCAATAAATGTAGAGAATCCAAAATCAATTATTTATATAGAATTTGGGTTGTTATAATCTAATAACATAATATTATCCATTTTAATATCTCTATGCATTAGATTCTGTTTATGAAGAAACTTAATTGCTATTAACAATTTCTTCATCATTTTTCTAATATCAACGAATGAAGGACAGAAATTATTTTATGCCATATAAAAATTTAATGTACCTCCTTCACAAAAATCAAAAATTAGAATAATCTTATCCTTTTCTTGATAAAATTCCCTTAATTTTATAATAGATTCTTAGTTTAATTAACTCAAGTATTGGCATATTTTTAATTCATTCAAAATAAGTTTCTTTATTATAGAAAAATCATACCTTTTATTGACATTCTAGATTTTGAGTAAAATTTAACTTCTTTGCAATAACTTCTATATTCAATTATTTATTATAACATTTAGTAATCTAAACATATTTGTACATATTACATCTCCTTATTTAGTTTTTTTTAATGTTTAAATTTCCTTGTAATGAGACTTGAAATTTCTAAAAAATACCTTTCCATCAAGGTATTATTTTAGATTTAGAATGGTTTACTTTGATCCTTAATATGTCTATGAATAATTTTCAGTAATAACAATTACTTCACTATAATTGGAATTGCTATTATAAAATCTTAGTTATACTCAAATTTCCATTCAAAAATTGCTTCTTGTGAACAATATTCAATTTTTAATTCATCTATAACACCTATCTTGGATAATTACAATTTATTTTTACTTATATTGTCAAGTAGGTATCATAAATAGTAAATTTCTATTATATAACTTATCCTTCGTTGCAGAATGATGATAGATAACACTAAAATAAAACAGATTAAGAAATCTTCATAAAGGAAATTAATATTTAATATATAAATGCAGTAGTAGCTTTATTCCAAATAAAACCTTTTGAATTGAAAATTTTAGATATTTTCTAAATGATAAGTATAAGTACAAATTAAAAATTTGATATTTTGTTATCAATTATGCTATAATGCAAATTTTAATGTTTAAAAAGAATAAATGAGTTAAAAATATCTAAAAATTTAATTGGATAAAGTGATCAATATACCATAAAGGAAATATTGGTTTTGATTTAAATATATGATTTTGCTTTATCTGATAGTAAATATATTATAAATAAAATTCAATAGACTAATATATTGCTATTGAATAATTTCTTTGAAATAAATAATTCTTTTTTTTCAAGTAAGGTTTCTTGATTTTTTATCAATCAATAATTTTTAAACCTAATAAATAATAGTGAACATTTATTAATGAATGTTTAAATTAATTCCTTTTTATTTTAGATATTGATGTTCTACCATTGTTTAAATTTTCTCTTAATGTATTCTTGTTTGGAGATTTGAGTTGACCTTAAATTTAATTGATTTCAGAAATTGAAATGCTTGAATTTGTTTTTAGTTAGCTATTTATTGTTTTTTTTTCATTTCAGAGTAAGAGACAATCATAATAATATGATGATTTTTTGAATATATAAAAGTAAATTAGAATAATTCATTATAAGAAAGAAATGTAAAATAAAATATAAAAATAAAAATGAATACTTAACTAGCATAAATTATAAAATATACACCTGTGAGTGAATTTAAGGTAAGCTTGAGAAAATTAGTTAATTTTGAAGAGAAGTATTAATAATTATTAGTTATAATAGTTAATTTACATTTCAACCAATGGATCTAGATAGTGTATTTATGTGTGAATTATTAAATGAATATGAAAAGAAGGATGATGAAAATTTAAAAGCTTGGGTTAAGACTGAAAAGTATTTATTATCAAAAAATGAAATTGATATTGAACATTTCTTTGAAAGATAATATTTAATGTTAATGAAAGAGCTAGATAAAGATATATACTTTTAATTAAATGAATAATTATTCAAATTCAGAGTGAGATTAAATGGTGAATTTTCTATCATTTTTAGATTAAAATAGTTTGAAGCTTTTGAGCAATTATTGAAAAAACAAATTTAGCATTTATCACCAAGAATGACAATTTCATTAAGAAAATAAATTCAAAATCGAAAAACACTTTCTAATAGACCTTCTAGTTTAGGTAAAATGTTTTTAAGAGCATTTAGTAAAAATAACATTGAAATTGGTATATTATTCAATATTACATAGAATCTCAATAATAATAAGAACCATTATTTACTTTTAAGAATATTAATGGTTTAGATTGTTATTAATTAAATGAATTTGATTAATTTTCTAAGTAAGAATAAAACATTATTTTAAATGTCTCTTCTTCTCATAATAAATTAGTTGATGATTCAGATGATGATGAAGAACTTGAATAATTTTAATTAGATTCTATTAAAATTAAATAAAATGAAATTAAAAATCATAAAATCATTTAAAGACAGTAATATCTAGAATATATATATGGTAATTATATTTATATAAATATTTAAGGAAATACTAAAAAGTTAGAATCAGTTATAATGTCTTCAATACCTTTTAATACAATTTAAGAAATCGAAAGTGAAAATATGATAAGCATAACTACTTTACAAAGACCATTATTAAATAGTTAATCAGCTGAATCAGTTTTAATTTATGGTAACAAATTACCAAATAAAAACTTTATTCCTAAAGAAAGAGATTTATGGAAGATTGCTAAGCAATTACTTAAATAAAAATACAAGCTTTTTTCAAGTGAGCATTTTCTAAAAGCTCAAACACCACTTAGAAAACAAAAGATAGCATTAATGAAGAAAAATCTAATGAAAATCTATAATAATGATATTTGTTGACAAATAATTAAAGTAAATACATAGTGGAAATATTCTTATTGAATTTCTTTGATTTAATAGAACAATTGAGATTTTTATACTTGTCTTAAAATATCCTTTATAAATTATAATATATATCTAGATTAAGTTTACTACTTATTAGTTTTTCTAATAATCTAATCAAATAATTAATCCTGTGTATAAAAATTTAGACTATTAGATTTTTTCATATATTAATTCTTTTTTATATAACTATGATATTTAAAGTCATTTCATAATTTATACATTAACTTATAATATATAAAAATACATGAACATATAAAATGGTCATTTACATATAATTGATTCTATCTAATTTAAATTCTATAATTTTGGTGACTAATTTCACAATAATTTAATATATTTTAGAATTTATAATCTAAAATATTAAGTAAAGAAAATAACGAAGTCATTATAAATTAAAATTTTTTTTAATATATTGAAAACAAATAATTTCTTTACTATTATATTTTGTAATAATGAGTTACTGTTATTTAAAGAATAATTAATTAATTTATTAGAGATGAACATTATATTTATCATCCTTATTATCCAAATTATTGAGTCCAATTTTCATACTATTTTAAGTTTTCTTATGAAACACTAGGTTTACATTTAGGAAGTACAGCCAAAAAGTCATTCTAATATTTATATATATATATAGATTTACATAAATTATTTCAGGTATTAATAATTATTAATTTGATAAATCTGTTAATTTAATTTTTTCAGCCATTGGATCAGATTAAGAACAAGCAGTATATTTAATTTAATTTTAAGTTTATACTTTTTTGAAATGAGTTGCTTTTTAAATTACCCTTAATTATTCATAAGATGCATCTCTAATAAGAGTATTGATATCAGATCCAGAATATCCTTCCAATTTTTTAGCAAGATCTTTAATCTAATCTAAAGAGAGATTATTAGGTGTTTTTTTAAGTTAATTTTAAAGTAAATGTAATCTTCCTACATAATCTGGAAGAGGAATATAAATACGTTTTTCAAATCTTCTTCTTACAGCTAAATCTATACCCCAAGGTAAATTGGTTGCACCTAAAACTAATACTGAATCATTATCTGATCCAATTCCTGAGAATTCAATTAAGAGTTAATTTTTAACACCTTTAAGATTATCTGAAGATCCAGAACTTTCTCTATTACTAGCTAAAGAATCAATTTCATCAATAAAAATTATAGTAGGTTTTTTCTCTCTTGCTAATTAAAATAGTTATTTGATGGATTTTTCTGATTCACCAGTATATTTTGATATTAAATCTGCACTTGAAACACTAATAAAAGTTCCATTACATTCTGTTGCACAAGCTTTTGCTAAATATGTTTTACCTGTACCTGGAGGCTAAAATTAAAATTATCAATTAATACTCCATATAATAAGATACCAGTCCAAGGTTTTCGAGCTCCTAGAAATAGATTTGGAAATTATATTGGCATGATAACAGCTTCTTTCAAAGATTATTTGGCCTATTCTAATCCAGCTATATCTTCCCATAAGACATTTGGTTTTTCTTTGAGTATAATATTGTCTAAATTGATTTTCAAGGCTTAATTTTCAACTAATTTAAAAATAATTATTACTATTTAAACTTTAATTTTCTTATTATTACTCTTAAATTTTATTCTATTGCTCTATTTGATTATTTTCAAAAGTAGATAAATATTATTTCATTTATTCAAGCTCTTATAAATACATAGACAACTTCTCTTTAGCTAAATTTTAATATTTTTTATTAGTTTCTGCTTTAGTATATTGGAGAAGGTCTATACATCCTTATTTCATTAAATCAAATCCTTTTTTTTTCATTTCATATGTTTTGCCTCCCATAAATAGTTTTTTGCCTATTTATAATAATTTTAATCTATCTACCTTCATCTATTTGTTATACAGCATTTAATCTAATTTATTCTAATTATGCAGTACTCATAATAATATATAAAAATAATTTAATTGAACAAATAATATTAATTTTCATTTAAATTATTTCATTAAATTTAAAAAGGTTAAACAGAATTATCTTATTGTGACATCTCCCCTTATTTTAATTATTAAATGGAATCTTCTGGATAATTTCTTTGTTATTCTAACTGAGAATGTATAATTCTTAGACTTTAATATTTTATAATGAAAGGAGATTTTTTAATTTTTTTGTTAAAAGGACTGCCTTCTGTTTATTTTTATGTCAATAATATTCTTTTCATCTCATTTTCAGAGAATTCTTATCTACAAACAGGACAACTAGTATTTTTTTTAGTCCTTCAATTTATATGATTGTTTACCATTCAGATAAACATTAATCATGAAATATATGATGACATATGGATTCACGTACTAATTCATCTTTCTTATATGCATTCAAACATACACAACATTCCTCATTCATTATTTCAGGTATGGCCTTTTTGATTGGCATATATTCATTTAAAATCTCTCTTTTTAAAGCTGGAACATCTGCTGCTATTACTTTAAATTATCTTCTCAAATGAATATAAATGGATGATATTATTAATAATGCTAATAGAATAATGCCTACAATCACTAAGATAGCCCATAAAGGAAAGTAATCTTATTGATTGTTTATTTCATCTAAATACATTATTATTTTAGCCTCGGATGTTATATTAAAATTATAGATTCCAATAACTATTATATAAGTTGTCTCATATTCTTATCTCTTTAGATCTACTTTGTAAGAGTAAAGCTAAGGTATTACAGTAAAATAGGAATTAAAAGAAGGCAATTCAGTTTAATAAGGAGTACCTGCAAGAACAAAGGATATTCCTATGTCAGATTCATTGTTTTCCAAATATAACTAATATTATATTGAAAGATATACTGTATAATCAGTTTTATCAAGTATATAATACATATAAGCCCAACTCTAATTTGCAATTATAAAGGATTTTGTTGAAATTTGTTCCTAGGATATTTGTTTATCACATTTCAAAGAAAAGTAAGGAAATTTACATTAGATCTTAGGATTTGGTTATTCTATGACATAAATTGAGTAATTAAAACTTACTCTGTTTTAATGAGGATATGTACAGATTTGTTTATATTAGACATTAATTGTAATTTTGTTAATCTGATTGATATATATATTTTAGTAAGGTAATTTAGAATAAAAAGCATCAGAATCAATTACTTAATAAGTTGTGTTGTTTTTATTGTATGATATATTTAATAACAGTGAGTATCTTTAATCTATCGGGAATTGAAGAATTTATAACTTTTATGATTTTATTGATGTTCATACCTGTATATTATAGGAGTTCATTTGATTTAAAGTAATATTCATATAGTTAATTTCTGAATTATAATTATTGGAGTATAGAACAGACTCACATCTAAAATTTAGTATTAACAATAAAATAAACATATATTAATTATTAAATTATATATTAAAATACAAATAAAAGTGAATTCATAATGTTTATATATTATTTTAAATATTGTTATTCTCCTTTTCTTCTATTATAATTAATTAGTTAAATACTAATCTAAATTAAATATAAATATTTCTTAAGATCAAATATTAATATAATAAATAATATTTATGATTTATAAAAAATAATTAAAAGTGATCAATTTATAAAACAATAATTAATATTTACATCAATTTTATTTAGTCTTATTAATAATATCTAATAAAATAGTTGGATCAAGATATTTAGATTTTTAATTAAGATCTTTTTCAAACTTTTTTGTATCATCTTAATCTACTCCTAATTCCAATCTATTTTTAATAATAATTTTTACATTTATTTTATATGTGGTTTTTATCCATAAAGTGTTTATAATTCTGGTGGTAAAAATTCAATGTTCTTTTTAAAAAACATATATAAATCATTATTTTAAGGTAGATCTCTTATTGGTTAATAAGATTCAAAAGATGGATAATCCAAATATGAGATCAATTTCTATTTAAATTCTTTTAATTAATAAATATTTATTTACCTACTTAATCATCTAACAGTAATTTTTATGCAATACAAAATCTTTTTTCATAAGCTTTTTATATTTATTCTCTAATTTAATTTCCTATTAAAATAAAATTTTCTTTGTCTAATTTATTTTCATAACAATAAGCTTGTACGAATTCATCAATACTATTTATATAAATTGATTATCAATACTAATTAAATGCATTTTCTAAATCCCATTATATGATCTCTTTAATTTTTGATGTATTTATTTGTAAATTAATCATAGAATCATTTTTATCTATAAATTACTCAAATGCTAAAATGTCTTGAATATGTTTATATTTTTTATGATCCTCTATAGCTTATTTTACTTAAAATTTACAATCTTCTATAATTTCTAATTTTATGATTAATTAACTATATTACTATGTGCTTCAATTGCAGTTAACTTTATTACTTTTTTTGGATACTTTTCTTCTAATAAATCAATTATAATAACAAAGAGATTTCTATATAATTATTCATCTGAATAATTATCTTCAAAGTCCCATAAAATTTATTCTTCTAAAATGGTCTCCTTAATATTCAGTGAACTTAAAGGAATACTCAATTTGATAGGATATAGATTTTGAGCCATTATTTGCATTCCAGGGGGATATGGACATAATTTTATGTTATTTTGTAATTTTTCATTTTGAGTCTTAATTTTGTGAATTTTCTTTTTAATGCAATCAAGTTAAGTGATTGATTCGGATAGTTTTGTGTTCTGCATTAATAACAAAAAATTAAAAATTAAAAATATTTAAAATCTTTTTATAATATCAATTATTTAAAGATATAGCTAAAATGATTGAATAGGTTTACATTTACATACTTAAATATCATAAAACATTATATTATTAATTATACTAAAAAATCATTATGTTTACACACTTATCTTATATAATATAACTTTTATTTTCTATTTCCACTTTAAAACTCTACAATTCTAGTAATATTTTCTAAATTTACAATTAAATTCTTATCTAAAATAATACAATAATGATTTCATTATATAAAGCTTAGAACTAGTAATAAAGATTTTATGTCTAGATTAAAAATAAAGGAATTATAATTAATCATTTATAAATATGAGAATTAATTTATTCATTATAAATATCAATTACATAATACCAATATATGTAATTATGTATTAACACTTAGTTAATATAATTTTAATATGATAATTTATTATTTAATTTACTAATAAAAATATTATGAGAAAAATAATATAATTATTGCTTGTAGTAATCAAATTAGTTCAAAGCTAAAAAGAATAAGCAAATACAGCATCATATGCAGCATAATAATAAGGAGCAATGGCAGCAGCAATTGCTTAGGCAGCACCTTATGCAGCCATGGGTATTCCAATAACGATAAAACCATAAACACCTCCTCCACCTCCTGATCCACCTTCAATAGGGACTGAACCAGAGCCATCAGAATATAATGATCTATTTACTTATTCAGGTTATTTTGATCCTTATAATGATGATGTTCATGCTTTTATGATTAATGGAAAGAGAAGGAAAAGACATAGAGTAAATTGTGGAAGGGATAGAAAAGGAAGATATTGTGATTTTAGAAGATCACATCATTAGCATGGTTTATATAATAGAGATTGCATTCATTATGCAGGATCATTAGAAATTTTTGGTGTTTGGTAATGTGGTTCCAGAAAATAATTATCAACTGGAGCTGTTATAAGATTTTTAGTGGAACTTCATGAACTAGTACTTGCATATAAATAATAAAAAAATGATTATGCAATTTAAAGATTTTAAAGAGTAATGGAATATAATAGAGATCTATATGCTAAATTAAAAAGAGCATTCAAAGCAAATATAAAGAAAAATATTGAATTTGTAATGGAAATCTTAAATAAAACAAATGAATAAATTATTTAAAACTTTTAATAAATTTTAGATATGTCAAAAGAAATCTTGACGGATATAAGAAAAGATAGAGAGGAAGAATTAGAGGAATTAAAAAGCTAGTTATAAGAATTATTAGAAAATTTCCCACCTCCTTCAAGCATTTGTTAATAATTAAGAGAATGTGATTCTTGTTTGTCTAGAGATGGATGTATTTGGTGTACAGAAGAATAAAATTGTTAAGAGGGAAATGCAAGAGATGGAGCATTTTTTAAAAGTTGTGATATTTGGGTAAGTGGTTCTGAATGTCCTGAAGAGGCATAATATAATATAGAAAAGAAGGTTAGTTTTAAGGATGAATTGGAAGATTATTATAATTAACCAGATTTAGAATTAGATTAGAAATTATATTTAGCATCAAAATAAAGAGATATGGTATAATTGAAAAATTAAATTGAAAATAGAAGAGTTGTTATTGATCAAATGATAAGTATAGAAAGAAATTTGAAATAGAGAAGTATATAAATTATTGATGAATTCTCTAAGAATAAAGAATATGATGGAGAATTCTTAGCTAAAATTATTGATGAGGATGCAGAAGGTTAATGGGCAGATTATAAAAAAGAAACTAAATAATTATTCAAAGAAGATTAAGAAGCAGAAAAATAATAAGATGAAGAAGAACTTGAAAAAAGAAAATAATAATCTGAAAAAGACAAAAAGAGAGAAGAATTTGAAAAAAAAGAATTAGAAAAAAGAAATGAATCTACTGTTATCAATAAATCTAAATATAAGGATAAAACAAGTGTAGAAGATGTATTAGAAAAGGAATAAGGAAAATTAGAAAAATAGGAAGAAAAGTGATTTTTAAATTAAAATAATTAATAAACTTATTTAATTAGTTAACTTCAACAATTCAAAGTATTCTTTATTAAATTATAATTCAAATTAATAGTTAAATAAAATAATATTAAGACTATTGATATAAAATCAAAAGATTTTTTAAATAAAAACAAAGTTAAAAGTAATTTAATTTAGATTATGTTAAGGTTAAAATGTAAGAATTAAATTGTAAATTAACGTAGAGTCTCTCAATATTTCAAATTATAATAAGTTTGTTTTGATATTTAATTTAAAATCTATAATTTTTAGGATGAATTATTTTGTTTGATCAACAGAATTATATTATTAAGTTAATTATTGAAAAAACTATAAAAATATTTAAGAAAATTAATCTCATCCTAATTAACTACTTATAATTATATCATCATGCACTATATATAAAGAAATATAAAAATTCTGTTGTAATTCTTTTAATAGATTATAAGTTAACTCAATTTATTTGGTATAAAAAGAGCTAAAAAAATAATATAAGTATTTCAAATTCATTATTTACTTTAAATAATAATCTATGCTTCATTACTTTTTTTAATTATAATTATAGAATCAAAATCTTATTATTATTATTTACTATAATTTTTAGACAACTAGAACTATAAAAGAATTCGTTTAATTTTAAGATTATTTTATAAATAATTCTCCTATATATATTATGTTTATTTAATTTAGATAGATATGGTAACTATTTAGAATGGTATTAATAATATGATATATTTAAAAAAAAGAATATATATTATTTTATATAACTATTAACCTAAATGCAGTAATAATAATAATAGCAATTAAGATCATCTTAAATTAGAAGACAATCATCAAATAGTGCACTTGATGAGTAACCATTCCTAAAATTTTTGGCTGAAAGTAATTATTTAGAAAGTGAACAATCATCATAAGAAAAACATTAAAAATTAACAAAATGCAAAACTGAACATTCTCTTTAGCCAATTTAGTTCCTCAACTCTAATTCATTTACTGTTAGCGATAAGAAGGTATGTTCATATAATATAAATTCTAGTTTTCATTTCCTACAAATGAAATTCTTGAATGGGAAACTCTATAAATAACTTTGCCACCAGAAGTTTATTAATTTTTATTGTATATGAAAACATAATGTAGTAATGGTACTATTGTTTATACAAATGAATAAATATAAGGTTTGTTAGATGATAGTAAAGTAATCATGTATAAATAGATATATTAAAAATAGTAAAAATTAATTAGAATTATTTTAAAAATTGATTGATAAAGATTGGATATCAAAAACAACAAGATTATTTAATGATATTGCTATTAATTTTTATGCATTATCAGTTAAAAAGTTAACCTATGAAAATTTAGTTTGGATTATCAGATCCATTAAAAGAGATTTGATTACTCCAACTGAAAGATTAGTTCAAAGTAGAATTAAAGAATGTTATGGTTTAAAATACAATAGAATAGAATGGGAACTTATAATGAATTAATTGAAATCTTAAAAATAATAAATTAAATTCCGTTCATCTAATGGAAAACTTATAGAATTGCCATTACTTTAAGTTAAAAACATTAAGGATCCATTAATATAAGAGGAAACATATGGAATTTATATTTATTAATAAAATTGGATTGTTGAAGATGAATTTCAACCAGAATTAGATAAAAAATAGGAGTGGACTATATTTATAGAATTTTTAATGGATTTTTTTGCTAAAACAAATGCTTAAAATAATAAAATCTTAAAAGGAGGTAGATATGGATGTGCATAATTTATTAAGTTATTAGGACCTAAGAAATTAAGAGAATTATCTCTGGGTAGATTAACATTATATGTCTAAATGGCAGTTAATAAGAATTATATTCGATATAATAAAACTATATTAATATAAGAAAGCAGAGAGAAATCAGAACATACAACTGATAGTTCTGTTGATGGTGATCCTTAAATTAAATTAAGAGTCTAAGAATTATAAGAATAATTGATAGAATTATTATTGGAAAATCCAGATGGGTATGATATAATAATTAAATAAGAGTGTATCGTTGGCATAAATACCTACATTATTAAAAGAAAGAGTCAATTTTGAATTGAATTTAATTGAATTAGGTTTTCCAAAACTCAAAAATTTTATAGAAAGTGTTAAGGATGTCATTACAATTGAAAATAGTGGTCGAAATAATTTTATTGCTAAATTAAATTATTCTAAATTACCTAAAAAATATTAAAGTATTTCTATTATTTTTAAATTATTAGAAATAAAATAAAGTGAATCATTTACTTAAAAATATATTTATACTGTCTTATAAATGATAAAAAATATTTTGAGTAAACATAAATATGGAATCAGTATTAATTAATTATACTATGATTTATCTTAATAATTAGGAGAATGGTTTAATTATTAAAGATTTTAATGTTAAAGTTTTTTTTAATTTTTATAAAATTATGCTGAAAATATTTTAGTTATTGTTTGTTAGAAAGGGAATTAATATTTAATTTATGAAAGAGACTTAAGATTTTTACCACCTCCATAACCAACTCAAGACATTAATGATCAATAATTTGAATATATATTAAGCGAAGCTTTTTAATGTAGTTTAGGTTTATCGATACCATAATCTAGCTTTTCTAATAGTTGGTTAGGTAAGGTTGGAGATTCATAAATTAGATAAAAATCACCTCCTAGAATTGAAGATTCTCATTAAGAAATTAAAGATAATCTTAAATTTATTGATGAATTATTAGGTATATATATATATTTTAAAATATTTAGGAAATGAAAATAAATAAAATGATACTTATTCAATTCAAGATTGGTCAGAAAAATCTATGAATCCTTTAGGAATGATTAGTTCAATTAATTATGGTCATAGTGAAATATAAGATTTTGATCTAACAAAGGAATTACAATTCTCAATACAATAATAATAAAATTAAGATATAAAAAAAAAATGAAATCTTTTGTTTTTATACTAAATTTTTACAATTAATGATAAATTTACTTTTTTATTTACTCATTTAATTTATAGTAATTTAAGAAGACTTAGAAATTTAATTATTATTCTTATGAAATTATAATTTTAATGATTATAAGAATCATTTGAAAAATTCTATTCTTTTAATATTTACTTTAGATCAATGATTTAATTTATAGTTATTGTTATTGTAATTTAAATGAATTTAATTAATGTATTAATTAAAAATTTTAATTATTTTTTTTTTCAATAAAAAATGCAATCAATTTATTAAATTAAAGAAAATCGAGCTCATTTAATTAATAAGGTAAGAAAACTATTTCCATTTTAATTGAATGAAGAATAAATTACATATTAATCTATAATAGATCTGAATACATTTATTATGAAATAAGAATTTTATGAAAACGTTGAGAAATCTAGGAATCATTTATATACTCTATTTATTATTTTTTATAGAATTATAGAATAATTAATTAAAATTTACTAGATAGTTAACATATCAAGATTAAACCAATCTAATATATTAGTAGATCTCTCTAATGAATCATCACCACATATACACTTTATTAATCTTCATGAAAATGATAATCTAATTTCATTTGATAAGAATTATTAAGAAATAAAAAATATATGTATGCAAGTATTAACAACTCACCAAAATTAATTGATTATGAAAATGAAGGAAATATCACATCATTCACTTAATTTAGAATTAATTTAATAATAAAAGAATGAAATAATTAAAGAGATCCATTATGCAACTATTTTATCTAACAATTTCCTTGACTTACTATAAAAACATTTTTATTTAAGAGATATTTAAGTGTTCCTTGAATAATAAAATATTTAATTACGTTTTAAAAGTCCATTAAAATAAAATAAGGAAGATGATGTTTTATAGAATTATGATAAATATTGATCAAAAATTATATATTAAATATTATTAATTGAAATATTTTATATATAATGGATCAAATGAAAAATGTTGATTCTTACTTAGATACTTTATTTGGAGATATTGCAACTACTAAATGCTTTAAATATGCTCAAAAAATAGTTTCTATTAAATCATAGAAAATTTTCCAAGAATTAGACTCTAATTAGATATTCATAAATGGAAAGAAATAACATTTAGATTTGTCTTTTCGATCCTAAACTGCTTAAATTTAAATTTCAACAAGGTACTATATCAAAAATAGTAAGAAAGATTGATTGCTTTGGTCAAATTGAAGCTAAAACATACACAAAAGAAGAGATAGACTCTATGAGAAAGGAACGAGGATAGAGAGCATAAATTAAATTAAAATAAATATAAGAGACTTCAGAGAAGAGAAAACATGACTTTATAGAATCTTGGAAAAAGACTTAATAAATTTAACATCAGAAACCATTATATTAAGTATTATAAGAATAAGAGAATGAATTGATAAAATAATAATAACAAATAATATAATAAAAATTAGAATAAATCAAATTAGAAAGGAGACCTTTAAATAAATTAGATTTTGAAGAACATAGAAAAAAATTTTGTGATTTAATTATTTAACCAAGACTTAAATCTAATGAATCATAATTAAATAATTAAAAAAAATCTATTAGTCCTGAGAAATCTATTTATTATTTAAAAATTCAATAGGAAAAAGCTAAATAAAAATAATTAGAATTAGAGAGAAAAAATCATTTAATGGAATTATAAGAGAAAAAGAAGAATTTTTCAGAAGAAACAAAAAAAAGATTTAAACCAAAGTTAAGTTTAGATAAATAAAATGAGCTATTAGAAATTTAAAGTAAGTTACATCATAGATCTGATTTTTAAAAATATTAAGTTTTAGCAAATAAAATAAGATAAAAAAAGATTTCATATTAAATATAAGACACAGATGAAGAAACTAAATCATTAATTAATTTTATTAAAAATAAAGATTAAAACACTTCATATGATATTGCTAGTTAAGACACTCAATTACCAAAATTTAAACATAAAAGTTTTGTTATTGAAACTAATACTTAGCAATAAAATATAAATTATTGGTAAAGAGTTGCTTTAAATTAAAATTTATCAGTTAAAGATAAGAATCTATTAATAATAGAAGAAGCAAAAAAGTAGAAATAGATTTTAGTTTAGGTTAGAACATTTGGCAAAATAATAAGAGTAATTAGCACGTGTTTCAGGTTATGATTGCTTATAAGCAGACAATCTTTTGATTAGTTCGATTAAAGCAAAGTTAACAGTTTTAGAAAATTGAATTTTTGGTTATAAATAATAATTATATAATATTAGAAACACTTAAATTATTATTTTACAATAAATCAATTAAATATTGAATAGTTTCTAAAATTTAATATCATAATAATATATTAAATAATTTAAATTTATTAGATAATTATTTTTATTTTATTTCAATTATTTCTCTTTTTTTTTTATTCTAATAAAACTAATCCTGGTTCATTTATTTATTATTATTGTTATTAATTTTATTGCCCTTCCTCTTAGTTCTATTATTTTTATGATTTTTATTTATTATTAGCCACAGATTATGCTAGTAATAAAGTAGCCCAGTCAGCATTATCATTCTTTTTTTATGTAAATTGATCATCATCACGTTAATTTGTTTTTCTTGGATTTTTGGAGAATTTCTTACGTCCTTTAGAGAAAGTTTCTTTATTTATTTCTTCTTCTTTAACTGGTTAATCTTGTTTTTTTTATTAAATCATAAATTTCTTTTCTCCTAAATATGGTGCATATAATAATTTTTTATTTAATTCTTCATGACAAAATAAACAAACATTACTATACTTAATCTCTTCTTTATCTTTAGTTTTTGTTAATAAATTAAATGTTTTTAACTTAAATATATATATATAAAATATTACTTAACATTATGCACAAGTATTTTTTGTAATATCAACTTAAAGAATGGCAGGAACAAGTTAATAGAGACACCAACATTCATTACATGATATACAAATTTATTATCCTTTACTAATAAATGGTTCTAAAATAAGTTCACCAATTTTGCAACTCTTGCATATGCCAACCATTCTAGATTCCTTAGATTTTTCACAATCAATATTTGGACATATATTACAAGTGCATTAATCTGATGTAACCAAAGGCGATGAACTAAAACATTTAGGACAAATAAGAGTAGTATTGAAAGGAGACTTATTACTAGTACAATATAGTAATTCAAACTAATAATATATAAATTAATATTACTTTATCAAATGGACATCTATAAGCTCCATATGCTTTAAATTTACAATCTGGTAATAAAGGATAAGTCTTGATACACTATTTACAGATAGCAGAATTATTTGATTATATTAAATATCTATTACAATCTCCACATCTACTTAAGATTATTTCTTCAACTTATTATTTAATTTATTTATTGATTCCTTATTGATGGTATTAAATTAATTAAAAATCATTGATTCTATCTCTAAAATGTATATATTTTTTTGTAAAGATTTGTATAACTTCATCTATGACTTATTGATATTTAAGTTTTCCTTTAGCAATTTAATCAACTTAAGATTCTATGTTCGATCTTAATTAAGGTGCAACTAGATCTGGATCAATTCTTTTATAACCTCTTACTAATGATAATCCTAAATCAGTAGGCTTTAATTTTCTAGATTATCCTTCAACTTTAACATATTGTCTTTCACAAATATTATTGATATGTGTTGCCATAGAAGCATCAGTACCAATTTTAAATTTATCCATTAAAGTAATTAGTTCAGTTTCTGTTAAATGATCAGGTGGACTTGTTTATCCTTATTAATATTCAACAAAACCAATTTGTACTTTGTTATTGGTTACAAATTTAGTTAAATCACTCTTGTTTTCAGTGATTGCTAACCAAGTAGCTATTTTAGTAAATCCTGGATCCAAAATATATTTTGCTTAATATTTAAACTAATGATCATTTACAATAAATTTTAATGTATGATTTTCATATTTACAATCTTTTGAATGAGCAGCCAAAAACATTTTGACTACATATTCATACATAGTTCTTTCTTCCCCATAAAGATCATTTTATGGTACATTTTCAGTTGGAGTGATAGGTGGATGATCTCCTACATCAACTCCTTATTTTGGATTTGAATGACCATTTGTTTTTAAATATTTACTATGTTCACTAATAAGTGGTTCTTTATATTTCTATAAATTATTAATAATTTTTGGAGTTGGAAATTCATGAGGATATGCAGTAGTTTCTGTTCTTGGATAACTTATATACCCTTTCAAATATAATCTTTCTGCTACATGCATAGCTTATTATGGTCCTAAACCTAAATAAGATGAGGCAAATTTCAAAAGTGAGACTGTATTGATACCCTCAGGTCTAGGCTTAGATTTTTGTTCAATTTATTAACTGATTACATCTCCTTACTTTTAATTTAATAATTATTAAACAACTAGTTTAGCCTCTTGTTCTTTCCATATTTATTACCCCTATTATTTAATATAATAAATACAAGCCATTCTACTTCTTATTTGAATCCCACATTATTCACTATACTTAATTTGATAGTATAAAAAGCTTTAGGTACAAAATTAATTATTTCTTCATGTCTCTCTACACAAAATCCTAATGTAGGTGTTTAACAAGGACCAAAAGTTACCATTTAATCCATGGAATACTTTTTTTAAAAGTGAAGAGTTTAAAATCTTGAGAATGCTACTCCAACTTTTAAATCTATTATCTATCTAGCATCTACTGATTCAGATTCTAAAATATTTGGACCTGAATTCAATTAATTGTAAGCATATTTCAAATCTGTTTATGTTATTGATGAAAACTTTGCTCTCAATTTTCTAAATAAATTTTTTTAATTAAATTACTTTGCTCTTCCTTATGAATTACATATTTCATCCACTTCAAAACAAATATTCTCTCCTTCTCTATCATTATCCAACCATAATATTAAATAATCTATTCCTGAAGAACATTTCTTTAATAAACCTATTGCTGCTTTATTTGCTGCCTTTTTTATTGTTTTTGCTTAAAATAGTTCAATTGGATCACATGAATTCTTAAATTTATAATTAATAATTACCCAATTTTCATATTCTTTTGGAAAATCTCTAGAAAATAAATGCCCATTAGTTGCAGTCACTGTAAAATTAGCTTACTATCCCTTAAACATTCCAGAGAAATAAAAGAATGCTTATCTACCCTTTTTTGCTCTCACTTTGCTACCGATTGCATATGCAACAGCTTCTGCAATTGAATTTTTTTCTGCCACCTTTAAATTGTCATATTATTTACCATTAATATTTTTAAATTGGGTCCTTAATAATTTGTAAATTCTTCATCCTAATAATCATAATCTTCATAGTCTTCCTAATCTCCATAATCATATTGATCCATCTTTATTAATTAATATCTTTATTTACTTATATATATATAAATAATTAATATTAAATGGTTAATATTAATTTATATTATCTATTCATCACTACTCATTGTAATATTAATTCAAATAATTCCTATTTAATATACAACTACTTTCAAATATTAAAAATAATTATTACAAATCTATAAGAATTAAAATACTTTTAAGCTTTATTATGTTCTCATTATAAGATTACAAATTTTCTAGTATGTTATTAGATATAATTTTCATTATTCTAAATATTCAAAATATATAAATAGAGTTATGATGATGATCTAAGTTTCATAATGTCATGGAGATATTGAAAATGAAATTGTTGATATTCTTGATTTTCAAGAGAGATCCTCTCATTATGATATATTTAAACAAAACTTACCTAAAATTAGACACGATATGTTTCATTAAGAAATTATCAAAAAAGAAAAGAATCACTCTATTAGTTTTAGAGATGAAGTTAAATCAAATTATGGATTAGTTGATATTATAATAGTAGAAAATTGGAAAGATTATAACATTATATCAGAAGATGATATTAGAGACAACTGTTCTTGTAATATCTTATGATTCTTTAGAATTAAAATGAGGATTTTTGTAATATTATTAATAATACTATTTTATTCATAATAATCCATCTATACAAGATAGTTTTAGACATTTTTAAATAAAAAAATATGAAATTAATCTAAAATAAATTTTATGATTATTATTATTTTTATTACTTTAATATTAATTTCAATATAAATTATGTATGATTGATTATTTTTAATTTCTATAATTAAATTAACAAAATGCCATCATAATTAAAGTATTTTATGATTTAATAGATAATGTGAATGTTTTAATTTATTGTTTAATTGATTAAAGATTCAAAGATGATGTAATTAATAATTGAATCAAATTATATCTATATATAGAAAATAGAAAATTATATAATTTAAACAGATTATTTAATCTTGTCTATTAGTATTAATTTATAAATTATATATAATTTGAATTAGATATAATTTATACTATTTCATTATAAATTCATATAAATTTTAATACATAATTTATAAATTTGTTGTAAATCAAGTAAAAATTTAAATGGATTTAATGTAAAAAACAGAAAACAAAAAATATATGAACTTTTATTATAACATTACCAATTATATATTATTATATTTAAGGATTATTGTTAAAAGATGAGTAAAATATAGAAAATATAGAATTATAAAATTTTAATAAAATTATATTAATTATGGAAATTGTAATTAAGGAGGCACTTGTTTTACTTGGAATAAAAGGATAAATGCAAAAAAGTGATTTAATAGAAAAGTTGGAAAAGAATGATTGTCTTCCTGGCTTTGAATCTGAGAAATTAATTGAAAGATTGTAAAGTTTATAAGGAATTTAAATTACAAATGATAAAATTTCATATAAGAAGCTATCAAATAGATTGCATTTGTATATTGAAGACAAGAGTGAAGATAAAAAGTATTTAAAAGTAATGGATGATATATATTAAATAATCTTAAAGGATAAAGATGGATTGAGTTATCAATAAATTTAATAAAAATTACCAAAATCAGGAAAGTTATTGGAATTAAATTAAATATCACATTATTGTAGAAAATTATATGATTTGAATTTAGTGCATATTTCATGCAAAAGTCATTGTAAATAGGTAAAGGCAAGAAAATTTTGTGAATTTCTAAAATGGAAAGGATTTGAAAATGAAGAGGAAGAAAAGAATTATGATTAATAACAAAATCATTATAAGGAATTTAATTTCTATTAAAATCTTTGGCTTAATTTATAAGAACCATTACTTGAATCAGAAGTGAGATAAAGAATGAATAAATGTGAAGAAAGTAAATCCTTTTCAAGATTGATTGATAATTTATTTAAAGTGGAATAAGATCTAAATTAAGTTGCAGAAAGAAGAGGCAAAATATTTATGTATAGATATAAAGCAAAGGAACCTATAAAAAAATGGCCATATGTCTCAACAAATTAAAAAGTAACAATTAGAGGAACTTTAGTTGTAAACTTTGATCCTTAAGTATTATCAGATTTACAAAGATTGCTTCAATAGAAAGGATATGTAGTGGAGTAAGATAATTATAAAATTGGAGAGTGTTTAAATAATGTGAATAATAGTTAATTGGATATTAATAATGATAAGAAATAAAAAGGATAAAGGAAAATATAAGTGTCTTAATAGAAAATTAATAGATTTGCTTGTATTTGCAATTATTTACTAATTGAAAAAATAGCAACTGTTAAAAAATTAAAAGATTAAATAATAGATAGTGAAAAAGATGAAAATAATGGTATTATTGATACAAGAACAATACATTCATTATTAAAGACATTGGAAACTATTGAGTTTTTAAAGATTCATATAATAAAAACTATAATAGTTTAGAGAGAATGTGATCGATGGCTTATATCTCATTGGAGTGTTAATGAACAAGATGAGAATGTTTAAAAGGGATTATAAAAATTGAAGGAACTCTAAACTGATAAACCATAATAAAATAATTACTTAGAAAGTCAAAGTCAATCAAAAATTGTAGCTAAAAATAAAGGAAATTAATAGTAATAATAATAATAAATAAATATTGAAAAAGAATAATAAATAGAAAGTGATGAAAGTCATAAAATTTATTAAAGTGAAGAAGATAAAGGTTAATATGAAAAAATTAATGCAAAAGAATATAAAATTAAATAAGCTACTCAAAAACTCAATTCAATCATTAATAAAATAAATAAAAAGGATATTAAGAAAGCTTTTAAAAAATTAAAACCTAATTATGATGTAAAGATTGCAAATGAAATCTTTTAGAGAGTCAATCTTTAAGATAGTTCTATTGGAGCATTGCTAGGGTTAGAATAAAAAGTTTATAATTAAATTGAATGTACTAAATCATTTTCATATTTGGATGAATGGGAAATAGATACAAGGTAATTAAATCCATTAACATATATTTAATATTCAAATTTAAGTGATTAATTAACACCATTAGAATATAAACATAATAAATAATTCAAAAAAAATAATGTAAACTATGAATCATAAAAAAATGCTGCAGAAAAATTAAAGAATTATTTATTAAGATATCCCAATTAGAGTTTAGGTAAATTAATGCATATTTTTCCAAATATCAATATTTATGCCTTACTTAAAAAAATGTTATTGGATAATACTATTGAAGTACTAATTATAAATTTAATTAATAGATTAAAATCTTAACTAATAAGAATTAGGATCTAGATCAAGCATTGGATTAATATACAATAGATTAGATTAAATACAGGATAACAGAAAATTATTTAGGATATTTTTGAGTTGATTTGTTATATTTAAAATATAAAACTTTCTTATTTCTTAATTACTTAGAAATATCAACGTTTAATATGCAACCTTCTAGAGATAATCAAAAATAATTTAATTAAATTCTTAAGTATTGCATATTAGGTTTCAATTAGAATATCAGGTTTAATAAAATTTTATAATTATTTGCATATTATTTTAGATATTATAAATGAATAGAAATGAAAAGCAAATCGAACATTACCGTTACAATTATAAGAAAGGAAAAATTGGAAAAGGCTCCTATGCTACTGTCTACAAAGGAGTTGATACTAATTCAAAGTAAAATGTTGCCATCAAATAAATTCATAAGGCAGATCTTCAAAGTGCAGGTTCTATCTTATTTATATTAACTTAGATGATGAAGAACATTTATTGAATGAGATTAACATGCTTAAGAGAATTAAAAATCCAAATATCATAGAAATACTTGATGTTCTTTAAACAAAAGATCATTATTATATTATATTAGAATATTGTAATCTTGGTGATTTAGATTCCCTAATTAAATAGAAGAATATTATCAAATTAGAAGATCATATAACTTTCCTATAGGATATCTTAAATGCCTTTACAACATTAATTAGATAAGGAATAGCACATAGAGACCTTAAACCAGCAAATATTTTAGTTCATTAAGAAGGAAAAAGAAAGATATTTAAATTAGCTGATTTTGGTTATGCAAAGACAATATTCAATTACAATGCATAAATATTAAAGAGTAATTTGGGAACACCTGCATATATGAGTCCTTAATTACTTAAAGAAGAATAATATACAACAAAAAGTGATATTTGGAGTTTTGGGATAATTTTATATTAAATTATATTCAATACTCGTATATTTTTAAATTATAGTAGTACCTTGGATAGGATAATCAGAAAATGATTTAGTTTAAAACATACTAAGTATTCCTATAACATTTCCATAAAATCCAAAAGTATCGACAATATGCCAAGATTTAATTATTAATTGTTTATAAGTTAATGAAGATAAGAGATTAAATTGGGATGATTTATTTAGGCATCCTTATGTATGTAGCTATTTTGGAAAAGTTGATATTATATAGAATAGTGGTTTAAAAAAGATTTTTATATTGTCTTAGAGTCTAAGATAGAAAATTGGATCAGAAGAATAAATGGATTAATTATTAATAAATTTAAATATCTAAAATAGGTTATGTTAATTAAATGTTGAAGAATTCAAGAATCTTATTAAATAAATAAATTAAAGTGAGAGTTTAAGTGAAGATGATATATAATGTTTATTTTAAGAATTTTAGATTGATGGTAAAGTAAATTATAAGGAATTTAAAACTTGTGTATTTTATAATCATCCAAAGAGAGTGAAAATAGTAAGACATTTATCAAATTCAAATATTAAAATTCTTGCCAAATTAGCCTTAGCTCTAAAATAATATAATATTAAAGAATTATTTGAATAATTTGCTACAACTAAAAAGGATGCTTTAGAGAGACATCAATTTTCAAAAATGATTAAGATGTTTGCAAATACAAATTCATTAACCACCCAAAATGTAATAATTGACTATATTATTAGATAAAAGAAATAATTGATTTTTTTGATGATAATGGAGATGGAATGATTTAAATTTCTGAATTCAATAATGTTTTGAGATATGTACAATAAATTGATAGAACTCCTAATAGTGATAATAGATTGGATACAATAACTGAATTAGATGAGATTTCATTTATTCAAGATAATGATAGTTTTAGAAATATAAATGATAATTTTGAAAGAAGATCAGATTAAAAGATCAGTATTTGCAAATGTATTACTTTTTGATTTTAATCTCATTTAATTTTAAAATAAGTTTGAATTTTAATGAATCAATTAAACTATTTATTATTTTAGAATATAAATAATTTTTAGCCGATTGAAACAGTAAGTTCTAAATTTAAATTATTTATGAATTAAGAAAATGAATTTAGTTTTGTTACAATAAAAAAGAAAGAGATTTTAATTTAAAAGAACAAAAAAATATAATGATAAATTACACATCAAGGCATTTCTATTTCGCCATATTCTAGCAATCTCTTTTCATATACTAGATATTATTGTTCATCAATAAACAATTCATAATTCATATATTCCAAGAATTCTTATTCTAATCTGTTTATCTCTTTAACATTTATTCCCCCAACTTTTGCATAGTAATCATTCTTATAATAATCATCATCTTAAAATTTAATTGCAATTACAATTGCTAATAGCAAGAATCTATAAAAGATTGATTAAAAATTGACATACCTATGTATACAATTGGAATTTAATACTAGATATGAATGTTTCTCTTAAAGTCTGTCTAAGTATATTAGAGCTATGACAAAGCATTATTCACTGCAATGTGTATATTTGCTTATTCTTTACAAATAATTGTAAATTGAGATTGCTGGAGCTGCTATTGCATGAAAGATTGAATTTGATTCTAATTCAAGAGAATCAGTTTCTTTAATTATTTCATCTAAAATGTTTGAGATTGTTAAAAGTATTGGGTTCGACTGCTGCATTAATTTTATATATACAATAATATTAATAATAAAAATATCCTTTTTTTATCAAAAATGCTCTATTGATAATCGCAATCATAACTGGACATTTTTGATATCACTCAACTATTCTTCTATGATATACGTTACCATATCTTAAATAAGTTTATTCAACCAGATTCTAATTAAAATTGTAAGACATTAAAATTCGAGGAGATAAATACTGTATGAAAGCTACTTTAAGAAATTACCATATTGAACTCAATCTCAGTGTATTAAATCCTTCATGATAATGAATTATGAGTGTATTTTACAATGAAGAATACATATATTTGATTTGAATTAGTTCAATATTATAGTAGGTTATCTAAAACATAGAAATAAATTGAAAAAATTCTACATAATTATACATAATACTTGACCTTTAGATACTATTAAGAGAATAGACATTTCTAATTTCCCATTAAGTATAATATTCTATAACAATTTAGTGCTTAATGATTTCATTTGTTAATAAATAAATCTATTATTTTACAAGTTCTATCATTTGAATATTTAATAAATCTTGTTTTTTTTTGATATACAACAATTAAATCATAATACTCTAAGTTTACATCAAGTTTTGATTTGTAACTTAACCCTTATTTGATTACTATTCTCTTAAATTGAAAATGTATACAAAATGGTTGCTACTTTAGTATATTGAGTCTTTTATATGAATTTAATATATATATTTATGAAATTATCTTCAACTATTCCAATATGATTATGTAATCAGTAGTACCAAAATTATCATTAATATATTCAAATTAATTTATTTCACTTTAAGGTTATATTTGTAAGCAATATATTATAGAATTTTCTTTGTTTCTAAGTAATACTTTTTTTTATAAATCTTATTAGAGTCAAAGTATTGCTGGATGTGGTTTATGCGTTTAAGTGTTATAAATTAATACTAAATATTACCATTATTTAATAATATCTAACAATAATTGAAGATGTTCAAAGATGTCAGAATAAATAATTTAGTAATCAATTATAAAAAATTGAAATTATTTTTGCTAATCTTTCTTAAACTAAATAAGGAAGGACTTTTTCAATTTCATCATTTTTAAATAGTTTTGTATTGTAATCTTGTTAATTTATTAACTTTTAGATAAGTTTAAAGGTAGTCTAATTTAGTAATTTTATAATACTTAATATTTAATTCTTATATATCATAAAAATTAAATTAATAATAATTATATGAGTTTATTATATATTTTATAAGTGATTTTCAATCACTATATATTTATAATAATAAAATAAAGATATAGAAGATCATTATTATGATTATAAGAGTAAATTTATAGTTTTTATTGTATTTCTATTGTATGTTTGAAATGAGAGCAATTCCTCATGTTATAACTAAATTTAATATTTGAAATTACTTCATCTATCAACTCTTGATTATTAAGTAATACTCTTGGCAAAGTATTATCAAATCGAAGTATGAAATATTTGGTAGTCTCAAAAATCACATCTTTTAAATCTTCATACTAAATTGTTATAAATTAAAATACTTCTATTTTTTTATCAAAATGTAAATACAAATCTGATTATTTTATGAATTATCTGAATAATAAATTATATTCATGATTTGAATCGAAAAAGTTTAAAATTTCTAATTAAGAAATTGCAATAGTTCTATAATCTTGAAATATTTATAATGATTTTGCTATAACTAAATAGATTAAACTTAAAGCAGTTAATTTTTCATTTTTCTTATATTTATAATCTATAAGACAAACATCAAACAATTACACCAATTCTCTATATCTATAATAAGATTAATTAGTTTTATCCTTAAATAAAACATTTAGTTCTTTTGTAATAATAAATTCATCCCATAATTTTGTGTAATAATTCAACCAAAATATAGGAGTATTTGGATTCATTCTGAAATCAAGGCATTTTAAAATTGATACTTCCATCTCCTCCATATCTTTTATAGTATATTAATCTTATATAAGTCGATGAAAATCTTTTAAGGCTTTTGGATATATTTCTTCACATTTATGAGCTGTGAAAATGGCTACAACTCCAAGAAATTAGAATTTAGTTATTGAAATATTTGGTTATCTGTGAAGAAATCTTTCAATGTAATTTATAGATAAATAAAATGTTTCCCTTTTAAAATGGAATGAATGAGCTACTTCAATCAACCAATCAAATAAAATAGCCACCATATGACTTTAAATTTCATTCTAGTTTTTTAAGTAATTTTTTTAATAACTATAAATTTCTTCAAATTTTACTTATTATCTCATAAACTCAATCAAAGTATCTGACTCATTATCTTAATTCTCTTCTAAAAGGTTATTAAAAGTAAATGAATATAAATTTTTAGAAAACTCTTCACAAATCAAATTCTCTTACTTTTATGAATTTAATTATTGAATTCTATTTTATGTGAAAGGAATTTCTTCAATCATTATAAGAGAAATAGTTTTCTCATTCTTAACCTTTTTAGTTGTAGCTTACCTATATTTAATATATTTATTTAATACTCTTATTAACATGCCGCCTAATTGGATTTTAAATTAACACTATTACAATTGTTTTTGTCTCTTAAATTTCTTTATTTTTAACACTTTTTAGGTCTACTTATTGACTTTTTTCCATTATTTTACATATATATTCTCCTTTATTTACAATTAAAATAAATAATAACCAAATTTTTGGGATTGAAATTTATTTAATGAAATTAAAATTACTGAAAAAAGTAAAATTATAATCTCTATAGACTATGTTGACTAAATTCAAGTTTTAAATTATGATTCGTGAATCTCCTGAGTGTAAATTAATATTCGTATACCTATTTTATGAATTTATCAAAAATTTTTAAAGAGAAGAGAGAATTTATAAATAATTATTTATAAATGTTGATATTAAATTAACTCTCTTTCTATGATAATTTAATATGGATAATATTATAATTCATTTTTATTATCATCTAAAGATCTTTAATTTAACTTAAGAAAGTATATTTGACAAATATTTATATTTTAACAAAAACAACTCAAAATCATTATCCTCTCTTTTATTTTTTGAATTTGGCAATGATAGTTTCAATTTCATTAGGTGGAACTGGATCATGTCTTTTGTATTCTAATGAGAATTCTCCTTATCCAGATGTAAAACCTCTTAATTCAGTTGCATATCCAAACATTTGAGACAAGGGAACATCAGCATTTAATACAAACATATCTCCTCGAGATTCAGTATTTGTAACAGATCCTCTTCTTTTGGCAATACCAACCATGGCCTATTAATAAGAAGGAGCTGGGACCATAATTTCAACTGCCATAACTGGTTCTAAAATTTCAGGTCCAGCTTATCTAAAGGTTTAAGCAAATGCATATTTTGTAGCTGTCATGAAAGCATTAGATGATGAATCCACAACGTGAGTTTCACCACCTTCTAAAACAAATCTAACATTAACAACAGGATAACCAGTCAAAGGACCTTTGTCTACTGATTCATAGAATCCTTTTTCAACAGCAGTAATATATTCATTAGGTATACTAGTACCAATAACATGATTTTCAAATTAATTAGAGAATTAACCTTCTTCTAATTAAAGTGGTTCCATATATCCAATAACTTTGGCATATTGACCAGCACCTCCTGATTACTTTTTATGTAAATAATCAAATTATTATTTTTATGTTATAGTTTCTCTATAATTAACAGTTGGTTAACCTAATTGAACATCAATTTCGAATTCTCTTCTCATACGTTCTGCATATATTTACAAATGTAATTCACCCATACCAGAAATAATAATTTCTTCACTTTCTTTATCCATATCAACATTAAAAGTAGGATCCTCTCTTTAAAATTTAGATAAAGCTTTTTAAAATCTTGCAGAATATTCCTTTTTTGTAGGTTTAATAGATAATGACATAACTGGTTATGGAACAAACATACTAGAACATAAAACTTAATAATTCATATCTCCATATACAAGAGTATCACCACTTGAACAATCTACTCCAAAAACTGCAAAAATATCTCCAGCTTCAACATCATTAATTTCTTCCATTTAATTTGCATGCATTTTAGCCATACGAGCAACTTTTACTCTCTTCTTTGTTTTCATATTATAAACATAATCTCCTTTCTTTAATTTACCTTAATATACTCTAACATATGTTAATTATCCAAATTTATTTTCTTCTAATTTAAATGCATAACCAACAAATGGTAATTTAGGATCTGTTTTAAATTCAATCTTTTTCTCCTCTTTCTAATCTTAAGATATTTAGAATCCAAAGTTTTATTTCTCTTCTGGAGCAGGTAAATAATCTACTACACCATCCAAAGCCAATTAAACTCCCTTATTTTTATATGCACTTCCCATAAATACTGGATAAAATTTATGTTCTTAACAATTTTTTCTAATTGATGACTTTAATTTCTCTTCACTAATTGGTTACTCATTCAAATATAAATCCTCTATTTCTGGATCAATACTTCCTAAAGTTTCAATCAATTCTTATCTCTTCTCTTTTGCTTCCTCTAAATATCTCTCTGGAATTTCTGTTTCCTTTACATCCTCTCCTTTTAATCCTTCAAAAAAATAAGCCTTCATTTTAATCAAATCTACTAATCCATTAAATGTTTAATCTTATCCTATTGGTATTTATACTGCTGCTACTGTTAATGACAATCTCTTTCTAATACTCTATATGGCACTCCAAGGATTTGCTCCCATTCTATCCAATTTATTTATGAATATGATTCTTGGCACCTTATATCTAGACATTTATTTATGAACTGTCAATGTTTATGGTTGGACTCCTGCCACTCCACAAATCAGCAATACTCCACCATCAAGCACTCTTAATGCTCTTTCAACTTCTATAGTAAAATCAACATGTCCTGGTGTATCAATCAAATTAACTTAATGTCCTTTCCATTTCAAATGAGTTGCAGCACTTTAAATTGTAATTCCTTTTTCTTTCTCAAGTTCCATAAAATCCATAGTTGCACCAGCTGAATCTGCTCCTTTTACTTCATGAATTTCATGAATTCTTCCACCATAATAGAGTACTCTCTCTGAAAATGTTGTTTTCCCAGAATCTATATGAGCTGAAACACCAATGTTTCTTATTAATTTGTGTAAAGGTTGACTAAACCAAAACATAGGAGTTCGCATAAATGACTTGAATCGGAATATATTATTCATCTCTTTAATTTTTACGAGAATTAAAAATTTAATTTAATTTTTTCTTTTTTTTCTTTATCTATCCATCCTAATTCAACACTTTATTCTTAATTAGAAGTCTAAACTTATTTATTCATCTTAAATGTATTAATAATAAACTTATTTAAATAACAAATTCTATTATCATCCTTTTAATACATAAAATAATATAGAAGTAAAGTATTTGTTTATCTAAATTTCTTAAATATTTATAAAGTTTTATTTTATATAAACTAGATTTTATTATTTAATTATTAAAAGATAACTAATAAAATAGTTTAGAACTAAAATTTATATTAAATCGTTAAATAACTATAAAATTATTATAAAAAATGTATTTACCATAAAACTACGCGGGATATAAATTTTTAAATATATGGTCTTATTAATGATAATTAAGAATCCTTGATGAATTAAGTATAATATATGTATAAATTGTTTAATTAATAATATCACACAGCTAAATATTTAAGTTGACTTATAAAAAAATATCTTTAAAGTGTTATTAATTTTAAAGATTTATGTTAGTAATATTATAATCATGATACAAATTCTTCATCTAAGTTTGATTCCATATCAAAATTTATATTATCTAAATTGGCCAACATTGATTTTTCATATACTTTAGCATCATGTTCTTATTCTTCTTTTGCTTTTTAATCTAACTAAAAGTCTAAATATTGTTCATCTAATATTAGTTAGATAATACCAACAATATTGCATTACTCATCAAATTATTTTATTAAATCATCATATTCTAATTTGGCTCGCAAATCTCTAATGTTTTCAAATGTTTTAAATCTTATTTACTTTAAGTGCTTTTATGCATGTAATTCAATTTTCTATGATTAAATGTATAACATACCAGCTTTGTTATCTCCATAGTTTTTTCTTCCATTTTTATGTAATAATTAGTTTAAATATTTTTTAAATAAAAAATAAATCCATTATTTTTGCATGGTTCAAGTTAAGAGATAAGATAGAAGAAAAGTTTATGAATACTTGTTAATGGAAGGTGTTATTGTAATTAAGAAGGTATACAATTAATTATATGATTATAGGACATGGCACTCCCAAAGCATGAAGAAACAGGAGTTAAGAATCTTGAAGTCTGGATGTTATTGAGAAGCTTAAGAGACAAGAAATTAGTGGATTTAGTATTTTCATGGCAATATTACTACTATTATCTCAAAGCAGAAGGTGTAAAATATGTAAGAGATAAATTGGGTATTTTCTTTAAATTCTACATTTTCTTAGGTATTGTAGAAGATGTCATTCCTGCAACATTCAAAAAGGCTGATAAGAAATTTGAAGATGATGCTCCTGAAACTAGATAAAGAGGTCCCAAAGGAGGAAGATCATTTGGTAGAGGAAATAGAGGAGCTCCAAGAAGAAATGAAGAAACAGAATAGCCTGCCTAATGAGTATAATTACATAAGTATATTACATTATCCATCTTTTTTTTTTTGTTATTCTATATTAATAAAAGTAAAGAATTCTTTAATAATAAATATAAATATATTCAAGAACCACAATTTAGGCAAACCTCAACTTCATCACCATCTTCAGTAACAATAATTTAAGGTTTTCCCTTTTTTACTGTTTTTCCTTCATTAGTAACAATCTTTTTAGATGCACTTTCATCAATCAACTCTTATTTTGATTATTATTATGATATTTTTATTTGTCCTCCTTCTTTCAATAGTGCTTCAACATCTACTGTAAATTTTATGGGATCTGCTGCAGGTCTAGATCTCAGATAATACATTCCTATAAATAATTATATATAATAGATACCTGTTTTCAATCCCTTTTCCCAAGCATAGAAATGCATAGAAGTTACTTTAGACATTGTTGGTTCAGCCATATGAATATTTAAAGATTGACTTTAATCAATAAATGGAGCTCTGGAAGTGGCTAAATTTAATATAGCTTTTTATGAGATTTCCCAAACAGTTTTATATAATTATTTGATATTATTTGGAATTTCATCTATATTCTAGACTGAACCATTATTCATAATTAATTTATTCTTGATTTGAGGTGTCCATAAATTTAATTCAATCAAATCATCAACTAAATGAGGATTGATACACACAAATTCTCCAGCCAAAACTCTTCTTGTATAGATATTTGTTGTATATGGTTCAAATGATTCATTATTTTATAAAATTTAACTTGTTGATGCTGTTGGCATAGGTGCAACCAATAAAGAATTTCTCATTCCATATTTAACAATATTCTATTTGAGAGTATTCCAATCATATAATTTTGGATTAACACCCCACATATCAAATTATAAAATTCCTTACTAAGCTGGACTACCTTCAAAAGTATCATAAGGTCCTAATTATTATGCTAATTCTAAAGATCTTTGACATGCCCCATAGTAAATTGTTTCAAATATTTTTGCATTTAATTCTAAGGCATCTTCTGAATCAAATGGTATTTTCATTCTTTGTAATGCATCTGCAAATCCTTAAACTCCAATACCAATAGGTCTATTTCTTTTATTACTGTATTCTGCTTATTTAACAGGATAAAAGTTCAAATCAATGATGATATTAAGATTTGTTGTGATTAATTTTGTAATCTCTAATAATTTATCAAAATCAAAAGTTTTATCTTCTTTGATTAACTTTTATAAATTAATACTAGCAAGATTACAAACAGCAATTTCATCTGGTGATGTAAATTATATGATTTCAGTACATAAATTACTACTTTTTATAGTTCCTAGATTCTTTTGATTACTTTTTTAATTACAAGAATCTTTATACAACATATATGGTAATCCAGTTGATATTTGAGCATCAATTATTTCTTACCATAATTATCTAGCCTTCATTGTTACTCTACCCATATTTTTGGATTCATATTCTGTATATAATTTATTGAATTCTTAACCATAACAATCTTAAAGACCTGGACATTCATTTGGACACATCAAAGTCCAATCTGAATCATCTTTAACTCTTTACATAAATAAATCTGGTATCCATAAACCTAAAAATAAATCTCTTGCTCTTTATTCTTCAATTCCATGATTCTTTCTCAATTATAAGAAACTTATAATATCACTATGCCATGGTTCTAAATAAATAGCAAAAGATCCTTTTCTTTTGCCACCTCCTTAATCTACATATCTTGCTGTATCATTAAACACCTTCAACATTGGTACTAACCCATTACTTATACCATTAGTTCCTCTTATATAACTATCTTATGATCTTATCTTTGATACACTTAATCCTATGCCTCCAGCTGATTTACTTATTAGAGCACATCTCTTGAGAGTCTCATATATACCTTCAATTGAATCATCAACCATATCTAATAGAAAACATGATGACATCTAAGGATAAGGAGTTCCACTATTAAATAATGTTGGAGTGGCATGAGTGAAGTACTTCTAAGACATTAAATGATATGTTTAAAAGGCTGATTGTAGATCCTCTTTATGAATACCAATACTGACTCTCATTAATAATTATTATGGCCTTTCAATTGGCTTTTTTCCTTCCTTAAGTAAATAACTTCTTTCTAAAGTCTTAAAGCCAAAAAAGTCATACTAATAATCTCTTTCATAATTAATCTCCTTTTGTATGATATCTTTATTATCCATTATTATTTTATAAACATCATCTGCAATCAAAGGAGCTGGCCTACCATATTTATCCTAGAATTTTGAACAAAAAATTTACTGTGAAAGAATGTAGTTTTGTTGCCACTTCACTAAAGGATTCACTTGTTTCCTTATGAAGGTTGTTAACTGCTATTCTTGCAGCTAATAAAGAATATTGTGGATGAACTAAATTCATATACGCACATGTTTCCGCCGCCAAATTATCTAATTATACAGTTGTTATTCCTAAAATAAATTCTTATTATATTAAATACCTTCATACATTCCCTGAATAACCTTCCACATTATTAGATTAATATTGATGTGTTACAGATTTGAGGCTAAATTTTATAATCTCTCTGCTATTTTTTAAATATCAATATTTTATTTTCCTCCATCTCTTTTTAAAACATATGATATATTTTTTTATTTAGCTAATTCTTATAAATGTTCAAAAGAATAATCATGATCTTGATCCATTTTTTATATATTAATATATTTTTAAACTAGTCTTTTTACTTTATATTATACATATTTGGCTCCAAAAGTTTTAGTTTGAAAATTATTATATTATATTATCAATAACGTTAACCTGGAGAAGTGAATCCACTACTATATGTCAACTAAGATTCCGACAAGTCCCTTGGTTCTATATCAACCTCTTATTATGGTTTATAAAGGGAAAACTGTGATGATGATCCTGGACTATAATATTGTTACTATCTTTAAAATTATCCTGTGTTGTATGCTAATATAAATAATTATTTGTACTTGAATTGTTCTTATTTTCAACTTCTAAATTGATTTAATCTCTTATTTATTAAGTTCTTTTGAATATTTCCTATTCTCTTTCTCTCAACATAGATTGTAATTGTTCATCATGTTCTCTTTCCCTTATATTTTACATTTCATCTCTTAATTGATTTCTTAATTAATTTATTTTTTCTCTTTCATCTTCAACCAACATTGAAGGTGAAAATTATTACTATTTCTGACTTGATTAAAAATCATACAATGCACTTGATAATTTTTAACTAGTCATTGGTTCTCTGACATCACCTGAACTTTATTCAAAATTGTTTTAATAATTACTATTTTAATAGTAATTTGGTTAATATGGTTAATTTGAAAAACTTTATGATTTCTTATATTATTCCATTAATTATTATTCTTACATTCTTAATTTCTCTTAATGTTATTTAGATATTCTTTCCATTTCCTATTCAAATTGTTATCTTCTTTATATACTACTTTATCTTTTTTTATCTTCAACTTATTTCTTATCTCTCAATTATAATTCTTCTTTACTGATTTAATCTTAAAATAATTAATCTCTTAATTTTTTTTCTCTTTCTAACTAAATCATTTTTAAATCTTATTAAAATTAATGTATTCTTTCTTAATATTCAACTTCTTCTAATTAAGCTTCATTTTCTAATTCTTATAATTATTACATTCTTAATTATTTCAATTATTCAACTTTTATTTATTATTGTTGAGAATCCATTTTCCATTATTCTTATTTGATTTAATCTAATAATTCTTTTTCCTTTTATCTAAATTCTAATTGTGATTAAATTTTTCTTTGATTTTCTTACTTTGCTCTTTATTCCATTTAATTTTAAAATTTACTAAATATTTGATATTCTAAATTTTATAAAGCTTCCTCTTCTTATAAAGATACAATCCTAAAATTGTCAGCCAATTGAGTTTTTCTGAATTATTTATTTAAATATTCCTATTCTTATTATTACAAATCTAATTATTTTTTGACTGCTTCATTCATATTCTTTTCTAAATTTTCTAATTATTTAATTCTTTATTATCTAACTTATTGATCTTATTAAAATTGTTTTTGAGCTCTCATTTCAACTTAATAATCAAACATTTCTTATCTATCTTTTTCAGCTTACATAGTCAAGAGTTATTTCTCTTAAAAAAGTTAATCCAATTATTCCATCTATTAAGCCATTTATTATAATCTTGAAATTTATTATTATTTTTATATCAATCTTTATTCATCTTCTTATAATTATTCTCTCACTCTTGCTTAATATTAGACACTTCCTTTTGGATAGATACTAAAAAGTTAATATTAATCCTTTTATAATGGCAATAAAAATTAGAAATTAATCTAATATTAATCCATATCTAATGATTTGCTTAGATTTATTGTACTCTCTATAAGTTTTTCAATTTCAACTGTATTACTTCTGCCAAAAAACATATCTAGTTGATCTTAATCATTCATTTTCATAATAGTACTTTAAAAATAAATAAAGTATTCCACCATGAATAATACAATCATTTAAGGTAAATCATTATATAATATCAAATGATCTATTAATTACATCCATTAATTCTTAGACAATAAATTTGTATATAATTATCTTATAGATGGCCAAGCAAATTTAATTGGTGAATATCCTAAATATTATTTCATATGTTAATATAATTGAGGTTCTACTTAATTAAATACTTGATCATGAAATTATAATAACGAGACAGGAGCATTAGGGAAATTTTCAAAAAATCTTTGACAATGTTATATCAATAATGAAAGTGTCACTTCAAATATTAATAATTCTTCTCCTCTTTTAAACAATTTAACAAATGGAAATACTAATTAAGGCAAATAATCAATTTCAGCAAATAAAGGACAATAATATGCTAAACAAGATAAAGTTCTTTATAATCTTGAAAACATAGATTCACTCTATAAAGGATATTGATCAGCTAATTTTTAATAAGCTGGATGAATTCCTTAATTAATTAAATTATTATAAGCTTCTTAATTCATTGGTAAATTAAGTAATGATCTCCAAATCAAACTTCTTTTATCATCTGGAAATATATGATATTACTTTAAGAATTATTGTAATTTCTAATAATTTAAAAGTTCTTTCAATGGATCTTCACTATTCTTATAAATTTTTCCTAAAGTATAAGAATTAATTGGTTAACTCATACTATTAGATTTACTATTCTTTTTACTGACAGTTGATTATGAAAATGATCCTTATAAAGTATTAGTATTATTTCCAACTTTCTTGATATCAATATTTGTTGTTGTATTATTAAAATTAAGAGTATCTGCATAATTTTCTTTGATCATAGTACTTACATTAACACCAATAGTTGAATTAAGATTCTAATTCTATTTATTTAATTTATTAAGATCATAAAGAGCTATCTCTCCTGTATTTAATATTATAGCAATCTTATTTTGATATACATCAAAGTGAGTGGGTGTTTTACCTTATAATATTTCAATGCATTTTATAAGATTACCACTACTATCTATTTAAATAATCATAAAATTCTTAGTTAAAATTAATATTTATTATTTTTTAATTGGTTTAACTAATAATACACCATTACCATATCCTTAATTTACATCTTAAGATATTAAATTATTTTGATTATCTAAGATATAAAGTTTGTTAGAATAACAATTAATTATCAATCTTTATCCATCAATGGATGGTACTAATTAACATTATTTGATATTATATTGTTCAGGTAATTAGATTCTACTTATTATTTCAAATGATGATAAATTCCAAATTGATAAAGATTTATCTGCCATAACTGTGGCTAATTCAGTTGAAGAAGGTAAGAAACTGGCTCCTACAAATATACTTCCTTTTGAAAATAATGAATGAACTTTATCAAAGGAGTCTAAAGAATGTAATATACATTAATCTTGACTTACAGAAAGTAATAGATTTTAAGTGTGATTGGTATGTAAACTTATGATTTGATGTTCATGACCTTTAAGTGTTTTCAAATTTCTTCCATCTTAATTTTTAGAATAGAAATATACTTTAACAAGACACAATTTGAATAGTTTTATTTTACAATGCAATTGCTAATTAACCTCCTTTGTTGTCTATATAAGATATCAATTGGGCTGGACTAATTGTAGGAATGTTAATGTATCTATTTTTGTCATGATAAAAAATGAATGGATTTCCTGATTAATCTATACAAACCAAAAAATCAAAATAGTAAACTATTTTTGGTTAGCTTTTCAATTTAATCAAATCGATCAAACCATTGATTGTTTATCCTTCTGGATTCATTAACGATCCATTCTTTACTGCTAGTGTATGTAACTATTAACCTTTGTTTTTCATATTAATTTAAATTTTAAAATGTAAGTTATACTCATAAAATTAAACAAATGAATTTTCATTATTAATTCGAGTTCAAATCTCATTTACAACTTAGTTTTTACTCATAGTTATATAGAGATATATATAAAAATTAGACTAGAGATGTTATATATAATTACTTTACACTATAAATATATAAGAACTTTCTATTTAATATAATAATATTCAAAAAAATAATTAAATAATATGAAAGTGATATCATATATTAATCTAATTTTTTATTTTCTGTAGTTTTCTGTCTCATCTATGTACTTACAAGATATATTCTTGTCTGTATATTATAAATTAATATCCTTAATGTTTTATAGTTATTTAATAAACTTGTGTATATTACTTGTTTTTATATTAAATTCATTTTTTGTATTTAATTACATTACAAACTAAGTTCTTCTAAATTATAATCCTTGTANAAAATTAATATTTATTATTTTTTAATTGGTTTAACTAATAATACACCATTACCATATCCTTAATTTACATCTTAAGATATTAAATTATTTTGATTATCTAAGATATAAAGTTTGTTAGAATAACAATTAATTATCAATCTTTATCCATCAATGGATGGTACTAATTAACATTATTTGATATTATATTGTTCAGGTAATTAGATTCTACTTATTATTTCAAATGATGATAAATTCCAAATTGATAAAGATTTATCTGCCATAACTGTGGCTAATTCAGTTGAAGAAGGTAAGAAACTGGCTCCTACAAATATACTTCCTTTTGAAAATAATGAATGAACTTTATCAAAGGAGTCTAAAGAATGTAATATACATTAATCTTGACTTACAGAAAGTAATAGATTTTAAGTGTGATTGGTATGTAAACTTATGATTTGATGTTCATGACCTTTAAGTGTTTTCAAATTTCTTCCATCTTAATTTTTAGAATAGAAATATACTTTAACAAGACACAATTTGAATAGTTTTATTTTACAATGCAATTGCTAATTAACCTCCTTTGTTGTCTATATAAGATATCAATTGGGCTGGACTAATTGTAGGAATGTTAATGTATCTATTTTTGTCATGATAAAAAATGAATGGATTTCCTGATTAATCTATACAAACCAAAAAATCAAAATAGTAAACTATTTTTGGTTAGCTTTTCAATTTAATCAAATCGATCAAACCATTGATTGTTTATCCTTCTGGATTCATTAACGATCCATTCTTTACTGCTAGTGTATGTAACTATTAACCTTTGTTTTTCATATTAATTTAAATTTTAAAATGTAAGTTATACTCATAAAATTAAACAAATGAATTTTCATTATTAATTCGAGTTCAAATCTCATTTACAACTTAGTTTTTACTCATAGTTATATAGAGATATATATAAAAATTAGACTAGAGATGTTATATATAATTACTTTACACTATAAATATATAAGAACTTTCTATTTAATATAATAATATTCAAAAAAATAATTAAATAATATGAAAGTGATATCATATATTAATCTAATTTTTTATTTTCTGTAGTTTTCTGTCTCATCTATGTACTTACAAGATATATTCTTGTCTGTATATTATAAATTAATATCCTTAATGTTTTATAGTTATTTAATAAACTTGTGTATATTACTTGTTTTTATATTAAATTCATTTTTTGTATTTAATTACATTACAAACTAAGTTCTTCTAAATTATAATCCTTGTATAAATAGGATGACAATTTAGATTTGTTAATTCTCCTATAAATTGATTACATTAGTTTAGTAAAATTAATTATACATGAAATTCAATTAAATTAAAGAATTTCATTATGAAACTTAAGGTTTATATTAGTTTTTAAGAATTGAGTAAAAAATGAAAAAGAGAAGGTTATTTGAAATATATATTATTTAAGTTTAGAATTAAGGACTTAAATGAAATAAATAAATAATTAAATAAAAAATGTAAAAAGCAAATATCATTTTTTTCTATGGACCACCAGCAACTGCAAAATCTTATGTAGCCTAATAAGTTGCAAAATAAACAGGATATGTTTATTTCAACTTAGATGAATTCTATGTGAAAGTAAAAGCATAAACAGAAATTGAGAAATTGAATAAATTGATGTAAGTATTTTAAGCTGAACCAAAAAACTATGTTGTTGATGGATTTCTAGATAAAAAGGCTTAAGCTGTTGTATTCTTTGAGCATTATCAAAAACCAAGATACGTCGTATATTTCCAATCTAGTAAAGATGAAGTTGAATAAAATATTAGAATGTTAAGTACAGAAGAACAAAAAAAGTGTCGTTTTTAGAGATTTAGTAACTTCCTCTAAAATCGTGATGAACTATTAGCTTATTTAAAAAAGTTTTAATTCTTTGTAACTGTCGATGCAGTATAAAAAGGATTGTCAAATAATTTTTAATAATCATCTGATTTAATTATTCAATCAATTATGAATATTTTAAAGCCAAAGGTTTTGGTAGCTCTAACATATAATAATGAAGAATTAGCAGAAGTTTATTTGAATAAAGTAGAGACAGAATTAGGATTTAAGCATTTACATTTAGAAACATTATGTGAAGAAGAATTAGCAAAAGGAACTCCATAAGGAAAATAAATGGGAGCATTCCTTAACTCAGGTTAGGTTGTACCACCATAAATGTAAATAGAATTATTGAGGAAATACTTGTATAATGATCCATAATAAAATAAATTTATTCTTACAAGTTTTCCTGAAAAATATTAAGAATTTAGAACATTTGAAGACAAATTGTTTCCAATTACAGGATTAATTAATTTCTTAAAAGAAGGAAAAACAGTTTCATTTTCTGCAAAAATAAATCCTGTATTACATTATTCAGCAGAAGGCAAAAATTTGATTATTTAGAATGAAGATTTAGGACCATTTTAATCTTATTTAACAAAAAGAGTGAAATTTGGAATAGTGATTGGTCCTGTAATGTCAGGTAAGACAACATTTGCTAAATATATTTCATAAAAATTTGGTTTTAATTTGATTGAATGGGGAGAAACAGCAATAGCTTAATTAAAGGAGAAATTAAGCACAGTTCCTGGAGAATAAATAGAAGAATTAACATTGCCTATGATAATTAAATATTATAAAGATTTATTTAGTAACGTTACAAATGAGAAATATGTATTTGATGGGTATTATAATAAATTAAATTTATTAGATTTCCTCCAGGATGTGAAAAACCAGAATAGATATTATAGTTCTTAAATTTGGGATAGGCTAGTTGGGTATTAAATATTGGAATAGATTAAACAAATTAATGGATTAGATATAAAATAAAGAGTGAAATGGATGCAGCAGCTGAAATGACAGATGATGATAAAGAGAAGATGATTACTAATGCAAAGGCACATGAAGAAATATTAAAGTAAGTATAAGTCTATGTATAATAATAACCTGATTGTAAATTATTTAAATAAGATACAAATTATTCTTTGGAATAAAATTTTAAATCAATTGATTAAATATTTGGAAAAAGAGTTTATTTGGCATCAATTTTAGCTAATTTAGATTCTGATATCTATGAAGCATTAAAATTAATTTATATTAACATTGCTGCAAAATATAAAATGGCATTTGTTGATGTTGAATAATTAATTGCTAAAAATTTTGAAAAACTTTCTAATGATTATGAAATGAGATGGACAAAACAAAATTGTAAAAATCCATCTAATTTCACTCCTGAAACTATAATGAAATTAGTTAAGTAATACATAGATGATTTACCTATATAAAGCAGGTAAGATATAATATAAATTATTATTATAGAGATGTATTATTATGGGGTTATATATCAGCTGATTAATAAGGAGATAAATAATAATAAGAATAAATATTCCCAAGAGCTACAGATGAATTAATGATGGTTGAGAAATCTTTAGGATAAATTAAAGTTTTATATGCAATTACAGAATAACCATTAAATTCAGAAATAAATGATCCTGAATGGGTATTAGAAAAACCAGAAGTTCCACCACCTAAATAAGAAGGAGATGGTGGTGATGAAGAACCAAAAGATGGAGGAAATGCTGATGGTGAAGAAAATGTTCCTAAATTTAATATTTATAATTATTAATGGACTAAAAGTGAAGTTCCTAAAAACATGGCTTAAATATTCATGAAAGTCAAATAACCAAATCCAGTAAATTATTTTAATTAAAATTTATAGGTATAACTTGAAGTCAGTGATTATAGCTTCAAATTAATTTATGATAACTTTGATGAACTTTTCTAATCAATTTAAGAAAATAACAATCATACATATTTTGCTTAGATATAATTACAATAACCAATTATGGATTGAATTATTCATTAAAAATATATATATATATATAATTCAATTAGTAAATAATTAATGATAACTACATTTATCTTGTTGATTATATGTATTCAAGCAAAACTAAAACTAAAGACTCATTCAATTTCTAATCATTAAATCAAATTAAAAAGACATACAACAATTAATTAAGTTCCCTTAGATGATTAAGGAAACATTATTTATTATATTAATGTTAGTTTTGGAACTCCACCATAAATATTTTCTATTGTTGTAGACACAGGATCAGTGGTATTAATATATGAAAGCACTCTTAGACAACTTGGATATCAAATCAAACATGTGAAGGATGTATATTTCCAAGGTTTGATCCAAATATATCTATTACTTTGTAATAAGCTAATGAAGATCATTCAATTAATTACAATATTGGTTCATTGAGTGGAAAATTTGTTTAAGATTATGTTGGACTTCCTAATGGAAATTTAAATGTCTCCATGAAATTTATGTTGGCAAATGTATTTACTATGCCAGGAGTAAGGCATTTATATTTATTAGATAAAATTCTAAGGTCTCTTAGGATTATCTAGTTATAATGACAGACAAAATATTTTTGAATATGGTTATTAATAAAAGTAATTGGAAACTTCACTTTTTGGATTAGATTTAAATCAGAATCCATAAGAGTCGGTCTTATTCTATAATAATTTCAGTAAAGATTATTTAGATTAAGTTATTTGGATGCCAAATGTCTTAAATCATTAATGGGTATATTTATGAAACCATAAAGGTAGAGTATGAAAGTCTATGGGTTTTTTGTTAATGAGATTGATTTGACAGACAAGATAACCTTATAAAATGGAACTATTGCATTAATGGATTCAGGTTCCTCTTGTTTATGGCTTGATGAAGAAATTATTAATTATATGTTACATAGATACATTTTGGCTAACTGCATTAATAATTATACTTGTCCCTGCAATTCACCTTTGTATCCAAATTTAAATATATATTTGGCAGGAGTCAAAATAGAGATCACATCTGAGCATTATATGATTCCATCAAATAATGGATTTTGTAAACCTTGCTTATAAAAAGCAGGTTCAACAACACATGATTATACTATTTTGGGTGATCCTGCTATGTAAACTATTATTAGTATTTTTGATAAAGAAAACTAATAATTTGGAGTTTATTAAGGAAATAAACTGCATAATTTATTAATATTTTAAATCATTTAGATATCTATGATAACAATATAATTAGTTGCTTTATGTTTATTTTGTTACAAGTATTATTAATACAAAAGAGTTTGATTATTTATTTATATAAGTTTTTGCTAAAAATGATTATTAATAAATACTCAATTAATTCTAAGTATACTATAAATTTACAATTATCTTTTCATAATAAAATCTAAATTTAGATTTACTTATAATATTTAATTATTAACTTTTCATTAAAAGAATTGGAGAATCTATAAATGGAACTATTTATATATTATTATTCAATAAAATAATGTACTTAAAATTAAGTATAAATGCCTTAAGTTCCTGTTCAAATTATGATGAATGAAAATAATAATGATGAATGAAAATTCATTAAATTTTTTGAATCTATAACTTTTTTTCAGAATTCTTATTCAAGTTGTTGATCATTTTAAAAAAAAATAAAACTTAACTATATTTACCTGACAGATAAAGACTCTTAAATATGTTATTTTTTGTTTTTATTTTCTTCAAATGCCTCTCCTAATTAACATAATTTAATTATAACAAGTAACAAAAAAATTTGGAGATATTCTTCTTTCTTACCTAATTAATAAAAATAATAATTTTGTCATTAGTTTTTTTCTTTTTCTTTATAAAACAAACTCAGAAAGAAGATCTTGACAATCAATCTTAATTTATTTAATTATTTTATATGGAATTTAATTTAGATAGCTATTTAAAAATACCATTCAAAAGCACTCGTTACAACAATATAGGATTTACAATTCCTGTAATTAATTAAAGAAAGGTCAAAGGTAATTTTCGATCTGTTTCTCTTAATAAATAAAGACAAAAAAATTATTATGCACTCATATTACCTAAACTAAATAGTTCTTTTTATTTATTAAAAGAGAATGAAAATGAGAAGAAGCATTGTGAGGTAAAGTCAAAAAAAGAAAAAATTCAGAATTATTTAAAAAGATTCATAGAACCAGAAAATGCTTCAAAATCAAAAATAATGAGAGATCTTGATTATAGGAAGCAAATATCCAGATAGATGAAAACTCAATTATGATTATATTTTGTTATAATAAAATAAATATATAAATAGAATGGGTAGTTGTTGTTCTCATAGTGAAAGTAGGGAAGGAATACAGTAGGGAGGACAAGATTCATAAAGAATGCCTAGGGCAATAGCAAGATAGTAATAGAATGGAAATGTAATCTAAGATGTGAATGAATAATATAAAATATATTTTGATATTTTGGAATAACAATTTAGTGGTAAGGGTTTAAAGAGAACATAAGCATATAAAAGTCATATAGATATTGGTTAGATAGAAAAATTGAGGGATATTTTTTGGGGTAAGTTATGAAATATATAATTGATTTAAGAAACCAGAGTCGAGGGGAGACAAGAGATTTGGTAGATCTTAAGGTCAATCATAAATGAAGAAGAGGGTATTGGGATAAGTGTATGTTAGAAACTGCCCGATTTTTAGTTCAGGAGGCTGAATTGAAACCAATAAAGGATTCCTTTCAACATGTTTATGATAAATTTGGACAAAAATATGATGTACCAATATTTTGCATAAATGATCCAATAGAATTCTCAAATGAGAAGTTTGAGGACAGAGGTTTAATAAAAAATTATGTTAATGAAACTGTAAAATTACTAATTCGAAGTGTAAATTTGAATGGTAAGGATATGGAAGTAGAATGTAAGTAGAATTAGAGTGTAGTGGATTTGAAAGAAATAGTGAATGTTGAATTATAGAAGGGGAATCAAATTTAGTGTGAATCAATGAAATTATTTTATAGAGGAAAAGAGATGCAAGATTAGTATTAAGTTGGAAGATACAATTTAAGTAATGAAGCCATAGTAATTGCTCATTTGAAAATATTGTAAAAGTCATGATTAATAAAATATCATTTATAATCAATAAATCATAATGAGTATTAGAATAATAATATCTAAAATTCTATTGTAATCTGGTGAAGGTAGATTGATTTATTCGATTACAACTGGTTTAATATAAGCAACACATATTTTATTACTATTGTTCCAAAGGCATTAATCATCTTGATTACATTATTATTGATTATAGTTATATTAACACAAAGGTTGACAAATCTAGAATAATAAATAAATAGTTATACTTTTGTGTTAGTATTGAATTTGCAATGTGTATTTGGACAATCTTCTTAATTATGATGTTGACAACTCTTTGATGAACATTTTTAACTGATCTTGTCATATGTACAATATTGTGATTAGTTTAAACAAATACAAGCATCTTTGATTTCTTAACAAGAAACACAAGAAAAATCAATCATTTGAACACAAACATCAGTTCCAATATGAGTTCCCATACAATCTCCTTATTATAAACCAAGATAACGACAACCTGTAGAAGTACATGAATATTGTCCACTAGTTGTTATAAACCAAGCACACTGATAATCTCCTTATTTTTTACTAATACAAGTATCAGCAACAGTAATTTAAGTACAATCTAATTATATTTAACATTTTTCTAAAGTTGGATTCCAATCACAATCATTAAGTAAACATTATGATTTACCCATATATTCACATGATCTTTTTCTGCAATATCCTGCATAGACACATTCATTACTATATAATTCACATTCTGATTTCTCTAAGATTTGATTGCAATCTAAAGTTTAACAACTATTATCTGATTTACTTCTACATGTTTGATTATTAACTTTATATTGCAAACAAATTAATGAAGAATCAGAAATATCCTCACATTTATGAGCTGGTAAACATTTAGCTTTGGAATTCAAATAACAAACTGTATGATCAATAGTAGTTTGATTACATTTATTGACTTCTACATCTGCACATGTTTTTAATCTACAAGTTCCATAATTAGTATTTTTTAAATATTATGTTATATCTTTACTAGATTTTGATTAAGATACTTCAAAATAACAATAATCTATATTAGTACATTTTGTGTATTCTGTAATAGTACTGCAATCTGGGAATTTATTTAAAAAAGAAATGCATTAACAAGAATTATTATTCCATGAACATTCATCAAGTACATTACATCCAAGAGCACTCAAACCATTAGTATAACAATTATCAGTAATAGTAGATGCAATACATCCAAAAGTCAAATCACTATATTTACATCTATCAATTGCTAATTAACAAACTGATTTATTTGCTTTTTCTGCTTGATTACAAATTAGATTATAATTGGGATCCCAAGTTGTACATTTTTAATCTTTAAATATACATCCTTCAATACTTGAACATGCAATTGCATTTATACCTTAAATCTCACAAACATTATATTCCACTAATGGTATTTAACAGTTTTTCTTTGAACTATTATATACACATGGATCATCTTCTACATAAGAACAAACTATTGAATTGATGTTATATTCTATATTTTCACAAGTAGTATATGGATAATATTCTTCACAATGATAAAAATCAGAATCATCATCTTTAATCCAAGCACAAGGTCCTGTAGTTAAATTTAAACATGCATATTTATTTAATCCTGGATCTTCACATTTGGCAGTATTAATATTAATTTAATCACATCCATCATCAACTGAACCACATGGAAGTTCAAAATTAAGTTACTTACATAATTTAGGACCTATACCATCTCTTTTACAATTAAATACAGATTATAATAAACGATTCTCTTAATGTTATTCTTCAACAAGTAATCTATTTCTTTTGTATATACATTTAAAACTAACATCATCCCATAAACAAGATTATGATTTGATTTTTAGACAAGCCTATTTATTGATACCCTCAGTTAAAGGTTAACATGTAATTTACTCTTAATCATTGATCAATTTGCATGTATATGATTTTGGATTGTATTATACAATATCACCATTATTAATTAAACTACATGCATTACTATTAACTAAAATAAGATCTTTAGGTGAAAATATGGATGATTTATTGAATTCTATTTATTAACATTTACCATTCTACCATTTACATTACTTACCTGTAGTTTATACTGATAAACAAGATAAATAACTTAAATATTCTTCACATGATGAATTATTAAAATCAGTAAACAAATCACATTCTCCAATTTATAAATCTGTTTCTTAACTCCATGAAGTCTTTTTTATTTTTATTATTGAATATTTCCAATAACATTTACTAGATTATTATTAAGTACATGCAACTTTATTTATATTATTCAAACAATTATTTTCAGTTTTTGATTCATTGTATGTTTCACATTAACCATTAATAAATTAACATGTTTAACCTAATCTTTCAACAGCTAAACATGATAATCTATTACCATAACCTTATTTAATATCTTCACATTCATCTTAATTCTATTTTACTTTATATTTACAAATCTATAATAAATTATCCCAAATACAAGGTAAAATATCAATTGATTAACATTATTAATAAGATTAAGCTTAATTACATGAAACTGGTTGTACCTATTCACATTTCTTTAAGTCTGTATTAAATACACAAAAAGTGTCTACTTTAGATAAACAAACTAATTTTGATTTATTTGATATCATTCCACACTCCTAATTTTCTGCCACATATGGAACACATGCTGATGTATCAGGATTCCAAGAGCATTTTAATTTATCTTAAAATAGACAAGATTCTATAGTGCTTGCATTCTAACAACATGCATTTGGATCTATATTGTCTTCTACATTACAATTAAGAAAGGCTGAATTGGGTCCATAACAATAATCAAGGAATTTGCATTATAGAGAAGGAATTGTTGAAGATAAACATGCTATTTAATTAATACCTCTAACACAACCAAATAGACTTTTAATTGTAGTACTTTTGCATGAATGTGAATCTTAATCATAAGAACAACCTACATCTGTTGGTTATTCACAAAATGTTGGATTATTAATATTAGATATATTTTTACAAGTTGAACTCTAAAATGTTTTAGGATTTATAAAACTACATTGTTAATTTGTAAATAAGCAATATTATTGAGATTTAATAATTCTTGTACATCCATATTGATTAATAGCATTCTCACAGTTAATTATTGAATAATCTGAAATTGGTTAACAAGACTAATTACATC